GTGTGTGTGTGTGTGTGTGTGTGTGTGTGTGTGTGTGTGTGTGTGTGCAGCCATTGGAGGCTGGTGGGAGTGAAGTGTTTGCTGAGTGCTTCTCATGAGCTATTGTGACAAGAAGGGGCCAAATTCCGGCTCCTTGTCCTGGGTGATGTGATTTTCACAGGATTGTTGTGGTGATTGCTGACTATGTGCAATGGCTATAGACACAGAAGGCGTATACATATAGGGTGAATAGTCAGTACAGTAGTGTCTATTTATCTCACAGGGATACAGGAGTCTGGAGATCATAGACAGGGAATTATATCGGCTTTTTTTTTTTTTTTTTAATAATCAGACAGCAAATACAGTGTTTTCAAAGAATAAACCATTATAAGAACCGGTGAAGCATAGAGCACGTCTGTAACCTTATACCTTCAATCTGCTAAGCATTTCTTCGGGGGAACAATAAATAAAGCTTAGCTGGCATTAACCTCTCGCCCCATCACAGCAGCTTGCCAAAGGAGCATTAACAAGGTAATGAGGGTACACACTGCCTCCTTGTAAGGGACTGCACAGTTGTTCTTTCATACCATTACACAACCACAAATAGAACTGGCCCACTTTAAGCGTGGCATAACTCGACAGGAAGCAACCCCTTTCATATTGAAAGAGAGGGGGGGGGAAACTTGACCTCTGGGTTTTTCACATCACTCTCTTTGTCAACAGTCTCTCACTCTGTCACTTCAAGAGTCAGGAAGCAGCCAGAAACACTGCAGGTGAGAACAAGAACTGAACTTGCAGTATATGCACAGATGGAATATAAACCTAAAGTAAAAGAATATTTCACACTACTCATAGAAAGCATGGAGTCCTTGTGTAAACATGGCTGATGTGCCGTTTTCTTTATGCATTCGGGTAACAAGCATGTCTTAATGTTATTCAGGTTGACCAAAGGGGATAAAGTTTAACCATAAACACACTTTTGGCAGCTTCTGTGTGTATACAGTATCCCGTGAAAATAACTACTGTTGTGGCTGATTAATAGGGAGCGAAAGCAGCAGCAGGGCTGACATTAATGGTGGTGGTGTAATTGTCACCCTATTAGTAATGCCACACGACAGCCCGGGTTTCCGTAGTTACAGCTGCGTCTAGCCAAACCTTGCAAACAAAATACCAAACAGGCTCATTTATTTGTGTTACAAATTGCTCCTTTCAAAGCCTTCACTGAAGTCATACCACTTTGAGTCCTTGCAGCCCCTTGAGCTGGCAGTTGTGGTATGTTGATAGACCAGAGAGCCCTGCCCTGCTGAGTAGATACCAACATGAAGCACATTCGCTTCAAGCAAGTGCGATTGCATGTTAGTTGAGCTTGAAAATCAAAAAGGCATTGCGAATCTTTGCCACGGTCTACTCAGCATTTTTCAGTCTTCGATTAAAACTGAATGCTGACTAATCGCTCCGTTCAATCGCTGGACACAAGTCAGCAGATTCAGAAGGAAATGGATTGGATAGCACTGTTGTAGGATTTCGTCTCCAAACAGAGGAAATCATTTTGCTGCATTGACTTCACTCCACTTCCTTTCCTAAACAAGCACAGAAACCAAATGTGATTCTGATAAATAGATTTAACTAAAGGCTGTCAGTGATCATCAGCGGTGTATTACTCATGGGAGACTCAGGCGAGGCCAGTGCTGGGAAATTTGTATCAAGCAACAGTTTTACAGCTGGCTGGAGGAAGGTGTTTGGAGAGCTGGATAACCTTGAACTGTTTGAATACACCCAGCAGAGTGATTCTATTATAAGCTGGAGGAGCTTCGGTCTACACTGGGATGCATTTCAGATGTGCCTCAATAACAGAGGTATTGAGTTGCCCCAAAAATGAGCACTGGAAATAAAGGGAAGTAACTTATTATCCCCCTATTTTCTGCAAACAATCATCTCCTTTCTCCTGGACCGAGTTCACTTTTCGCTGTCATTCTTTCTTTTCCCCTCTCTTTATTCTTTTTTTTCATTGTTTCCATTGGTGCATTTTTGGTCCTGAAGCTTCCGTTTTTCCCACACTCTCCCCTGTCACACTGGTCGACCACAAAAATGCAGGACAGAGGAGAGTGTGAGGGGGCTCTGGAATTCCACATGCAGAGGGTAAACACAGCAACTGCCAGGAAGACACACACACACACAGGAGCAAACACAGCACCTATCCGGCTGCCCCTAACCTATTCTGCAACCCCTGTGCTGCACCCTTGCCCTCTTAACTCTTCGCTTGCCAGCTACAGTTTGTCCAGTCGAGTAAGATGACTGAATGTAACACGTCAGCAGTGCGAGGGCTTTGCTCAGTGCTACCTGCTACTCTCAAAACTCTACTGCTTAGATTGTCAGGAGACCTGCAAAGTGGCAATAAATTAATTAAGTCAAACAGAGAAATGGAGAGTTTTGTGTCCTTTTGTCTTACACATTAGAGGAGTGTAAAGAGCCCTTTACCACTGCGACTGCTAACACTGATCACAGAGGTTTGCTGTTGTTGTGTAATTTGGCCAGATGTTGCAGTAATAAAGTCATAAAGTAAGCGAGGGAAATAGCTGGCAGTTCAGCCCTATTTCCCTCCTTTCCTTTTATTTTCAATTCTGTGCTCTTCAGCTTATCTCCAAACCAAACAGGAATTAAACGGCGCTCGGAGCCCGGGGCCCTTCCACTTAACCACGTTCTGTTTACTGTTCAGGCAGAAATCAGGCTTGTGATGAGGTTGTTTACAGATACACCCTGCGGCCAAAACACTGGGAGCACTCACATATAACGCTCATTAGCATGAGCCCTATCCCCTTGAACTCACCGATGCCATGCGCTTTGTCTCAATCCACAAGCAGCGGCCAATCAATACCAACCCACTGCAATCACTGAATGGGCTATGCATTACCTGGTGACTTTGTTAAACTCTCAGCTATACTGGATTTAAGTATCATCAGGAGTCAGGAAGAAGTAAATCAGAACTAAATGCATTCAGTTGGTAGGCCGGTCTTACTTGATGAGACGCTTTGACGCCGTTTTCCTGATCTGTCCCTCTCTGGCACTGCTGGGTGGCTTTGGGGCGAGAACAGGACTAACGCAGGTTTGAATCTGGCCGTGACTGTGATTGGACCGAACATGAAAGCTGGACGGAGGGCAGCCGGATGAGTTTTTGGGAGCCTGAGCGTGTTGAGTACTCGTCTGGTCTGGAAATTGAGCCTAAGAAACAAGAAAAACAGCAGTTATTTAAGGTTAGCATCATTGAGTTTACAATTGAAGTTTAACCTTTAAGGACAGGCATTATAAGGCTGTCAGTGCTGTAAGAGCAGCGACTAACAATGACTACTCTTTGATCAGCCATTAGTTATCACAATGGGACAAAGCATTGCTTAGATCAGCTAACGTCCTGCTTAAAGGTTTGTTGATACAGATTGCAGGCCAGCAAATGCCTTTGGACCAAAGTTGCTGGAGATAGATGAATTCCTGAAGTGATCCCAAAACATCGTGGTTGTTACTTGTACCTCTGTGGATGTGAGAGTTGTTTTTAAAACACAGCTTACAACAACTGAGATGCCATGAAAAAAAAAGTCTACAATAGCAATGTGGCTCTGAGCACCATTAGAGCTTAGTCCCCAAAAGATTTTTACAGTAAGACGTTTCCTAACAACTTCTTTCTAGATTTCTTATTAATATGTTAGTTTAAAAGGTAAGATATTAAAGATATGGGAGCTGACAATCGTGGTGTCCCACAAGGATCAATCCTAGGGTCGTTACTCCTTTTAATATATGGAACTAAATAAATAAATGCCAAATGCCATAAATCTGTGTTTGATTGTAAACTGATCTGTATTCTGATGATGGGTTCGATACTTTGAAATCCAATACATAACTAGCTGACTTTCATTCCATATATACAAGACTGAATCGACTGTGTTGTATTTGCCTGAAAAAGTAAATTTGCTCAAAACAAAACTTCGTAAAATTGCCGGCTATGGAGTCTTTATTAAAGGTCAGGTGTCAGATGTAAGACAAGGAATTCTACCCGGAATTTAAGTTCATATAACCTTAATTACTATGATCTCCCAAAGCATTATCAGGGGAATGTAAAAAATGGACAAAATATGTTTCATTTTTAAGAATTAACAATTTTAAACAGATAAATTGAATCATTCAAATGTTAGTACTTAGCAGCAGGGCAATAAAAACAAGAATACTCTATTAGCTTTTGAGAATTGCAACGGTATGCGATCATAGATAATATAAATTATTTTAAAATTCAAAGATATGGTTGTTTTGAATCAGTATATTCTCAATGTGTAGGTGACCCAATTCCAAAAGAGGAGCAGGAAGAGCAATCACATTTAGAACGGGTTAGTCATGGGAAAAAAATATGTATTCTCTGGTCATTTAGGTGAAATATCAAAGTGCTTGACATGAATTAGTGCACATATAAATGAAATGCCATCCAGTATCAAAACAAGACCATTTTTTTTGCAGTTGGCAGCACTAGAAAGCAAATTCTTCACATTATTTATTTGTTTATAAGATCTCTTTAAAGCCTTGGGAAGGGGGAAAATGCCGTTTTCTTTTTGACGTAATAATTTAGAGCTACATTTCACTCTGTCCTTGCAGTGCTGGTGAATGCTTTGCATACATTCCTTCCACATCTCACGTCAATGCTATTTTCTCTGCAGCTTTATACGGCTATCTAACAGGCTAATGGTTTTCCAGCCTCACGGTGCAGCCATTCAAAAGGGCCGGCAGTGTGACGGGGAATATCTGATGTAATTTGTGTGTTGATAAATGAGAAGCTGAGTTTCCAGGTTGCGAGACACACGGTCACAATTCAGTTTGAGCGGGACCAGGAAGGCCACCTTTCTTTGGCTGCCAGGTGGCTCGGAGCCAAGCCTGTGGAGGAGCCGCGCAGTCTGCACCCAGTAACCGGAACGTGGACTGGAGCGCCGGAACAGCCCCCTGTCTCTTTCTCATCTCACAGAAGCACACGCTCACACATGGCCACTCGCACTAGGTGAAGCACTTCCTTTGTGTCTTCAAATAAAAAAAGGGTATTTTCAAATAATTTCACCAGGAAGCCAGAAAAAAACAGCAATGGGAATTCAGGGATGTGACGTGCTAATTCCTGGACCGATCAAAGAGTTCAGACCGATCAGAGTTCAAAGAGAGGGATGTCTGATTTGATGGTGAGACAATTACAGTATATCCAGAGTCAGCCTTCCTATGAGCTCAGTCTGTGAGGGTTAAACAACTCTCTGTTATAAAGAACTCATGCAGGAGTGTGATGGAGCACGTCAACAATAAAGGAAATTTGGTCAACTGTGTTCAGACTATGAGACGAAATGAGAAGGGGAGTGGAACAGAGGAAAGGCATGGCATGTCCCATGACACTGTCCTGTCTCCATTTCTATCCATCCATAGATGGATACAAAATCCTCTTGAAAATGAATTCCTTCCGTTTAAGATCCTCTTTCAAAGCAATTATACTAAAAAAACAGGGGGGCTGTTTTTTTCTCTAAACATTCAAATTATGCTGCCTAAAAAATAACCATGACCTCTTTACCTTTCTAATCTCCCTGTAAAAACAGCTAAATCACATCCGTCACAGCTAGTCGGGCAAAAATGCTTTTTGTTGCTCCATTACTACTGCTGAGAAAATCTCATATCCAAAATTGTAGTTGTGTTGTAATCGGAATACAAATGGAGCTCAAATCTGATACGTGCTGTAAAAACGTCAAGCTCATAACGGACTCTGTACCGGGGCCTCTCTGGTGCCCTCCTGATTACTCACCTTCCAATGTAAACCTAGCAGAGTCAATCAGCCAAACAATGTAATCTTGGAGTGAGGAGTCATGTTTGGCTCTCCAGGAATGAGCTTCTGTTGAGGAGGATATTCTCACCGAAACACCATTTTCTTTAAGCGGTTTGGAAAGAGAATTTTAGAATAGCTTTGAAAATCCTAACATGAAAGCTTTCCCCTTGACGTGGGTGTATTTTGCACTACTTTGGCGGGCGCAGTGCTTCGGTAAGGGAATATTCTGTACAGACACAAATATGAGTTTCCTGAACTATAGCTCGAAACGCATTCTGTTTCCTTCCATTCCAATAATTTGCTTGAATAAAAGAAGCCGAACAACTCATTTCTCAACTCTTTTGCTCAATCCTAATTCAACAAAACAAAAACGTTCGGCGTGTTTTGAGGGAACAAATAGAATTGACAACAGATCAGAGTAACGTAACGCTGTTAAGATGAAATACTGGGGGGGGGGAAACAAACCCAAACGCTCTTATATACCTGGTGTCTGCAATGGCCTTGGTCCAGAAATTGTTGAGACTGAAGTTTTTGCTGTTGCAGTTTCTGTATAGCAAACTGAAGCTGGTAGCTCTCTTGGGTGGGCTGGTAGCGCTGCTGGGGGTTCACCCCTGTCACCAAGCTATAGGCACTCTGCATCTGACCATCCCAGAGACCCTCCTCATGCTGCAGTGGCCTGTGAGTTGGAGAGCACAAACGAATTGGTCAGTGAAAATTTGAAAGAATCAGAATGAACAAAAAATACATTTTGCTTCAGATTCAAGCAAACTGTGTTGCTTTGCAGTCAATGCTGCCTCGGTACAGTACATGCGTCAGCTCAATGTTACTTATTTGCACTCGAATAGAAATTGAACATCTACAGTATGAAGGTTTCACCTCGTGGTGGAAAAGAAAAGGGTATTAAAGATTAATAAAACAAACTTAAAATTAAAAAGCATAATTTCCATGACCAGTGAAATTTGAACATCGACACACCAATCACGACACATCATCAGCAAGAGACAAATGTGTGTTGCCACTGTTAGCTAACATTTCCTCGGATGCAGTGACACAAAATGGATCATTTTTTGAAAGGAAAAAGTGAGACAACCCTGCACCAGTAAAAGCTCCAAAGCGTGTGGTGAGCAAATATGAACCTGAATACATTTATTTGATTAAAAATGTCAGGTCAGTATTTCTTCTTATCTATTTGGGAAGGTGGTCCTCGGAGTTTTTTAACAATCAGAAGTGATCAGGAGGAACAAAAGATCAAGAACGCCGTGGAAGAGGTGTGACGAAATACAATTATAGCATATATTGACAAGTAGCGCAGCATAATGTCAAAATACTTACATACAAAAGTCTACTAACGTACTACTAACCCATCTTAATAGCTAATAATTACCTGCAAAATTGCAAGATGGTGCAAGCTTCAATGACTCAATAGTAAGCCATAAAACCACAGTATTTGCTACCATCTTCTCCTTGTCAGTTATTTTACCATCCAACCAAAGCATGGATGTTGCAGTACCTAATTAACTGACCCATTTCCCTCCACATGTTGAGTTGCAACACCACCGGCAAAAAGCAAAAAAGACAAGACAGCTGACGGGAGTCCCAGTCGGTGGCTGCTCAGTGTGCAGATCAGAGTCAGAATAGAGGGCAAGCCTGTGGCAGCAGGCTGACCTAAAAACCTTTCCTCTTTGCCTGAGTGCTCCCCGAGCTTCACGTCCCATTTACATCACAAAGCCACAACCTTTTGACAAGTTGCACAAGTTTGTAACTGGATTATCTGTCATTAAAACTAAGCCTGTTTCAGCTTTTTTTTTAATGAGGCGATCCTCCCCTTCAGACATGCTTAAATTGAGTCTACATTGAGTCTGGTGTGCGCAAACAAAAAGTGCCATAAAGAGCACTATTGGGAACTGCGACAAAAAAAACAACGAAAGAGAAAGATACAAGTACAGTTTGAAGAAATGGCATCCCTGGGGGTCATAATCACAAAAGAAATCCTTGGAAATTCCTCCCATTACATGCAATAACATTTGTCCATTGGTCGAGAGTAAAAGGAAACACTGTAGACTTAAAATCACAATAGCTGCTATATTTGTAGAGCCAATCTAAAATTAGAACTCAATTAATCTTGAACAATACACACTGTGGGAAAATAATCTTGTGTCGCTCAAGTGAAAACATATTCCTGCCCTGTGTGACACAAGGCACCTGAAACTCATGTGAACATAATGGGACATACAGTATATTGCAAAAACAACCGGTGTGACCAGTCAATGTTTTTTAGCTTCTGGAAACAAAGGCTTGTCTGTGAACCCTGCAAGGCCAGAGATTCTACTAACGCCAGGAGACAAAACAAAAACTCCGTCTTTGTTTACAACAGTCATTTCCTTTAGCTTGGCTGCAGTTTGCACACTGGACCACGGGGACCTTCAGCACTACCAGTTTATTAGCATATGGTCTGAAACAGACTGTTCCTCCGGTCAAGAGCATTTGCTTTCCATGACTACAATGCTGCAGAAGGGCCCCCGATGAGAAGTCTTTTCAGACAGGGAGTGTCAACACAACACCACGGGAAACATACGACAGCATCACCATGAATTTAAAACCAGCAATGCAGGGACAGGCAGTAGAGAAGAGCAGCTTTACAGCTGAGTTTCTCATCGCTGGTACAGCACATGTGTGTGTGCGTGGGGCTCCAGCGACCTGGGAGCTCCCTCCCTGCTGGACTGCTGCTCGTTGGTGTCAGCTTACTCCCCGCTGCGCTCGCCATCTTTTAATACGCTGATATGACTTACTGTCGAACAACACAGCAGTGCAAGTTAAGCACATGTCTAACCATCAATCTAACCATGTGTGAATGTGGGAAAATGGACGGTCTGAGGTGACATCATGCCACAGTATCTCAAAGCCCTGCCTGGTCAGTGTACACATCAGCTGCCTCAAGAGTGTGCGGGTATTTCCAGCCATTACTCAGTTGTTTGCCTTGTTTCATTGCAACAACATGACACTTAACAGAACCGTCTTTAAAAATAAATTAAAAAAAGATCTGTATCTGGGCATTTGTTGTTTCAGCAGTCTAGACATGCGTGCTGATGCTTTAGTTAAAGCAGTGGTGAGCAATATAAGATCCTGAAACCACCAGTGGTCTGGTATAAAATACAGGTTTACTAAAACCGAGAATATCCTGACATCTGGAACATGGACTGATGTAAACTGACCAGTTCAAGGTTTTACTCTCAAAGGAGCTCAGGGGAACACTGAAAGGCAAAGGTCCCTGATACTGTAAAGGACATGATTGATAAAGATGACACTGACATTCTAGATTTAAAGAACATTTAGAAACTCAAGAAAGCACCTTATTCTTTTTATGTGCGCTTTCAAAAATAACCTAGATTTACAAAATGATGGGAAGCAACCTTTAACATATAACGTGGCCCCTAAAAACTGTTGTATTTGTAAATGATGTTACAGCTGGTGATGCTGCAGTGACTTCCTGTTTACATTGCTGATTACTTTTGACTGGATGATGGCACTACAAATGTGTCCTTGCAACCAATTTACACATACACAGTTTAATGGTAGTTTAACGGTGAACGTGGTTTAGTAAATTGCTAGTTTAAAACTAGTAGTAACCACAAAAACTGGTGCAACTCAGTCCTGATCTAATAGCAACACACAATTGACAACACTGCAAAAATGGGTGACACGTGTACTGCTGTAGAGGTGTGTATATCTGCTGCCTCAATCCCTCCATTCACTGGAATCTCTCACTCTCTTACCTTGAGGGCTCTCCCTCCTATTGCCACATCTGGCTCCAATAATTGCGAATAAAAACTTCTCTTCTTTTAAATTCAAGGAAGAGAGACATCAAACCAACCTCCATCGAAGACGTTTTACATTTTCACCCGAGCTTTTCTGATTAGGTGGGTTGTTGCTTCAGCAAATGACCTGTCATAAAATCCTTTGGAATGGTATGTTCTTACAAAATTCGACCAAGTCAAACATCAATCTAACAAAGTATTGAACAGAACTAAAAATACCCAGCATAAGCAGGGTTGTGGTATTTCTCAGTTCTAGCTGTGCTGGAGCGAACACTGCAGAGGAAATAGGTTTGCGGTCATCTGTACGTACAGTGAGAAGAAAATAAGGAGGCATTTTTTGTGGCCAGGGTGCCAATGCAGCTCAAGACACATTATATCACATGACTAATACAAGTGGAGAGGACAAACCATGACCTGCTACTGACTAAATACTATACACTCAAAACCCAAACCCAAAACTAAGATTAATCAGCCATAAGTAAGATGCTACTCTGTATGAAAAATGTGTAGAAGTAACCAAAAAACAACAAACTGGTTGTTATTTTTGAGGTTGTCTCCTTGACTGTACCGTAGTCAGAATGTCTGACTATCTGAGTGTTTTATACTGCTCACATCATTTCACAAGTACGTTGAATGGAAATCATCATAAACGTTTCAGGAGGTCCAACACCGGAAATGATCCCCCAGCTCACTGTGGATGCATGAGGACCTGCAGTATGGCTCAAAGCCCTCCGGTTGTCAGCACACTGCAGTTAGGCAGCCGCTCTAATAGTGCTGATGAAGCATACCAGGTAGATCCTGGCAGCGGCACTTCAAAGAGCCGCGCTGCTCTTTGAAACCCATCATACTTCACCCCTGTGGTTGCTTAAAGAGCCAGTGTGCTTAACAGTTTCAGTATGTTTGGCACAAACCATCGGCCCGAGTGTAGGGGGGGAAGGGACACAGGAAATTCTGTGTTATAAGAAACAGCTCCGAGGTGAAATCAAGGCAATTTATCCTAATATCTTATTAAAGACATTTCACTGCAATACGAGGTGAATGCCAAACCAAGGGCTGGGAGTACTGGGGTACAAGAGAGCTTTTGTATTGCAAGCCAGTGACAAATGGGAAGATAAAGGCAGCTGTGTATTTTCTGGAGAGATTTGGAACAGAAGCTAACTGTATATTCCACCGTCTATGAATTATTAACCTGAAATGTGAAAAGCTGAAATGCAAAGCTGAACTTAAATGTATTCTGTGATGAATGAAGTGCCAAAACAGTATCGGAAAAGCCAAAACATTTAAATAGAATGACATTCAGAGAAGACATTTATGATCCAATCAAAGCACTAGAGTTCTAAATTTAAATGGGAGATCAAAGGGTGACTTCTGTTTCCTCAGTATCACATGTAAGAGCTACGTGAAGCTATCCGTAAAATTATACATTCTATTAAATCTCTTTTGTGGAAATAAAAACATTTTAAAAAAAGGGAACAGGCCAGCAGACATTCTTGGAATTCCCTGACAGCTCGATACATAAGGAAGGGCAGGACTGGAAAAACAGAGTCTAAGATCAAGGCCAAGCTGTCTGAGACATTGTCACTCACATATTCTGTCCTTCTGTTTCCTTCCTTCCCTCCTCAGAGCAATGGGAGAGGGGTAAGATATGGGGTGAGGAATGGGGGTCAGTGGCTGCAGAGGCGAGAACTTGGAGCAGACAGACTATGTGGGTGTTGACATTGCCCCCCTCACCACTGCCTCCATCCCACCAACGCAATGTTTCAAGCTGCCAGCATGCTTCACACACTCCCGACACTCGGCAGCCAATTCTGGTGCTACTTAGCTCCACAAAGCACTAATAAAAAGAGAATAAAATGCCCATTTGCAGGCACGTATTGAACTACCCTGCCCAGAGGAGTGTTGGCGCTGCGCAAGCCTTTTCCAAAGACTAACAATGTTCAATCTAGAAATTTGTCAGAGACCATTAAAAAAGCATTTAGGTTCTATTGAGTGTGACCAAATAGGCTACCGCAATCTAAGTGTCTACAGTAAAGACTTGAGTAAAGTTGATTACACAGACAATCCTCAGGACATTGATTTGTCCAAAGTGATTAAAGCGTCTCTGTCTTTTAAACACTTCAATCTCAAGAGTGAAAAAAGCAACTCAACTAAAGTATTTGAACTCTTTAGGCCTTATGACATATCTTAAAAAACAAGAATGGCAGTTTATTCAAACTACAATTTCTGTGTTGGTGTCCATCAGCGCAGCATCTCTCAGAGGAGAGATTATGCTGTTTTCCTTGGCAGTGAACCCCATCGAGACTGTAACACACTATTCCGTCTCTGCTGCCTCAGGAGAGGGCGACTAAGTAGTGCACTTGGGCACAATGGTGAAATATGACCATGAGGAGCAATGGAGCACTTATAAGGGAGCAGAGGTTTGGTTTGTGCTAAATGAAAAACTGGAGTCATAGAGAAGGTACTGTAGCAATTACCACAAAATAAAGTCCATCTAAAATCATATTTATTTAAATGTATTTGTCGAATTTAAGTAAAACTACCAAGAAATATAATAAACATTTTCCCCCTTTGGTATCTGATTTCAGGTCTCAAATGAGAACAAAAGAGAAGTGACTTGCAGAGCAGTTATGAATGCTGTTACAGACAAGAAAAAATGATAATTTCAGTTGGACTTTAAGAAATGAAACTTTTCTTTCTGATATGAAGTGCGAAGTCAAGTTTTCATTTTTTACACCAAAAAAATACCCTGATATTATTCGAAGCGCTGATTATTTACAATTTATTTTCAAATTAATTTTGTGTCCCCCAAGCTCCCCAAAGTCACTTTGCCATTTCCTAGAAACAAGGTTCTGCAAATTTCTGTGAAAAAATGGGAAGGAAAAGTAAAAAGCTATACTGATTATACACAGTCCCTCAAAGTACAAAAAAAAGAAGAAATGGACAATGGTTGTACGTAGGGATGCACCGTTCAAACTTGTTCCCTCCCAATACCAATTCCAATACTTTAATTCAGGGTGTCTGCTGATTCCAAGTACCAATCTGATACCAGTGCTCCCATTCTCCCATCTTAAAGATGCTCTACCACACTGTGCAAAGCCCATTGGAGTCATTTTGATCGAAGATAGCATGAGGCCAGGGATTGTTGTAGCACTAATAACTGAGCAGCCCACCCTGACTGAGTGAATGTAACTCATGATAGAAACACTGGGTTTTACTTGTTGAAGAAGACACTTTTTCATCATATCTGATGTCCGATCCACTTGATAAAAGCAGTATCAGCGCCAGTGCAAATCCGGCCTATCAAACTTGTGCATCCCTAGTTGTACTGCAGAAAAAGTATTTTTTAAATGCCCTTTTCCCCCCTCAGTTCTCTGCACATGCCACATGTCTTTGGACTCACCTAGTGCTGCTACATAGATCTGTTCCGGAGTGAACAGCTTTCACTGGCCCTTGGGTTGGTGCAGCAGAATGCCGCTCTATAGGGTTCAGTGTGACGCTCTCTCTGCTCAGCATCCTGTTTGCCAGGTTCAGGTTGGTCAGCTGCGGGCAGAGAAGACAACTTCAACAGATCATTCAAATCAAACCAATTTAAAGTCATTTTCATCACACACACTGTATTAACAAGATGTATGTATTCAGTAACAAAATCAATGTTAAGTCAAGTCACTTCAAGCAAACATCCCACTAATCCCAGCATCTAAAGCTAAATGGGAATGCTTGATGAATAAGCACTCACATTGCGTTCCTCCCCACATCGACCACTTTATTCTCTTGTCTCTGGGGGCTATGTGAAATGTACACACAGCACATGGCAGAGCTAGTCTCCGCTCAGCACTAAATCCAGGTGGTTCCCTCCTCCCTTCTCCATCTCTGACAGAATCAGCTATATCATGACTCGCCAGCCAAAATCTGTTTATGACCACTGTAGCGACTGCACCTCTGTACTGCTCCGTACCACCCTGGGAATTATGTTCAGTGAAAGCTAATGGGAGAATAAATTATCCTGCTGTGGCGTTTTATTTACTTTATTTCCTCCTGTGCACTAAATAGTCCAATGGGAAAATTGTAATGCTGCCAGGCCTTGTACGACGTGAAACAATGTGTCAGCATGGTGTTACACAGCCTCTGCTCTAAGTTACTTATTAAGGTAGACTGGACGTATTCTTACAAGCTGTGCGGCCTAAACTGAGCAAATGAAAACACATGTGGAAGCCAATAATACAAGGCTTTTGGACAAATTGACATATATCATGTATCATGATAAGCCATTACAATTTGAATAAATCTACCATAATGAATAGATCTCTACCATATCTTTACCACAGTTACCATTGTTAAGTGTATATAATTGCCAGAACGCCCCATCGTCTAAGGTCATCTGCACCAACTTGTCTAACTGAGACACAGTGTTAGAAGAATGTCTTATAACACTATATTGGACAGCGACTATGCCTGACTTTACTCATTTTCAGGTTCTGTTTATTATACATTCTGACCAGCTTGAGAGCGAGTAATTACGTACTTAAACCTGAGAGGTCAACTGGGGCAACAGGGTGTTGTTCGTGTTTACAACGTTCTCCATTTAGTTCAGCAAGTGATTTACCGACTTCAAATCTGAGCCCAAAAAATACAAAACACAAACTGCACTCTTTGAGCCATTAAAGTGAAAAAGACTGGACTATTTCTCTCGACAAAACACTGTGCTGCCATGCCCAGGATTAACTATTCATAAGAAATACAGCAAACACCTTTCAGATAGACAGAATAATGGAGAGTCAAAGGGAAGCCATAAAATCTGCAGTCTGTGTGGTCTGGTGCCATCACAAAGAAACCTTTACGAAAAAAATCCAGTGAGGCAGAGGAGGTAGAAGAGGAGGAGGTAGAAGAGGAGGAGGAAGAAGAGGTTGAGGGGCTCCCCACGCCGAACGACAAACCTTTGGGGAATATAGAAGAAGGTGGTGATGGAGCCAATGGAGCTGCCGCTCCCCTGCTCCGTGCCAATTTGCTACATTCCTCTATTTATAAGCATCAATTACCACAAAAAAGTGGCTGCTTGTTAAGTATCAACAGAAATCACTCCCCCATGGTGCATCTGATAATGAGACCTCACACAGAGCTGAGGCTTGATGCGGCTCACCACTATTTGGGCCAGCCAGCTTCAAACCCCAGTTCCAGATCCACCCCCGCACCAACCCCAGCCCACAGACTGCAGGCGAGCCGAGGACTGAAGGAGGAAGGTGCACGGTACGAGGCAGCAGACCCTCCGGCTCCAACAGGTCTGCCAAAGGAATGAGCAGCTAGATGCCGCCAATCAGCATGGGGTCAGAGCCAGGTTTACGCATCAACAAAGAGAAGTATCAGAGACCTCACAGTGAGAGACTACTGCAGCAGCCCCAGATTCTTCTTCCTTACATGAAACATCACACGGATCCGTTTACAGTTGCTCAATAACTCAACATGGCTTCTTATTCGAGCACAACGAAACTTCCTGGGCTTTAGCGGTAAAGACCTAGGCAACTCACGTGTTGTGTCAGCAGGTTGATGTGACTGGAGCTGGCATAGTGGCGAGCAACCTGCTTGTCAGCCAGCTTCTGCAGGGCTGAGATGAAGGCCTGCTGGTTCGACTGCGCTTGCCAGTTTAAATCCTTTAATGTCCCGGCTGAGTTGGACTTCAGCTTACTGGAAGTGCTCCTCCTGATCACTGACATACAGGATAACAGAAGACTAATGTGAGAAAACGGGAGTGAATAAGATGAACAACAGCAATGTAAAGTACTGAGTTTACCTTGGCCCGAGGTGATTCTAGAGAGCTTCTGGTTATAGATGTGCGTGGCACTCGGGATGGAAGATGCTGCTCCAGAGCTGGACATTGATGAGGTGAAGGACTGAATCCTCTTGAGCTCCTGGGTGGGTGTCCCACTACAGATGGTGTTAGAGCCAGTGGAAACAGCTGTCCACGTTGCTCTCGGGGGCTGTGTGACCACGAGGGCAGGGGCGTATGCAGGAGGGTCAGAGAGAGTCTCAGGATGGCAGAACTGAGAATTAGCCAAGGACTGTGCATAGGACGGTGGCTGAAGAGGTGGCGGCGGTGGCGGACAGTGGAGAGGCAGGGACGTCGGGGCTGTGGAGCAGTGCTGCAGACGAGTATGTGTGCCGTCTAAAGTCACGGGAAAGCTGGGGCAGTGCTGGGAGGCCTGGACCTCTGGGTGGATTTGACCAGTTCTACCCGCTGCTTGTTGGTCTTCAGTACGGACATAGGGCTGACTCTCAGTGGCCTTGATGTCCGGGTCACTGCTGACTTTCCCTCCGGAGAGCGAGGACTCTGAAGCACTGGAATCCTCTTTGGCCACAGGCAGAGCTGTTCAAAGGAGGAAAGAAGCCAGAGCTCCTTTATCATCAGATAGCCATTTCTCGGCTCTGAAACACACATTTGCTTTCCCCCAATGAGTCCTAATCGTTTGAAGCCGACCTTTTCTTCACCCGGGATGACTAAATCCTTTTCCTATCACTTTTTTGGGGGGGTTTACAAATCTAAACTTTTCCTGTTTACTGTGCTTGCATGATAAAGTATTAAACATAAACCAGACCTTCAGTAACAAAAATATGGGGGAAAAAACTTGCGGGAGGGACTCACTTTTGGAGTTCTCACAGTTGCCTGAATCTCCGAAGGCATTTACTTCACGAACGTCTTTCTTAATACTCCTGACTTTTGTTCCGAGGAAAACGGCGGCTGATTTATTTTTCTGTGTGTAGAATGTCAGCACTTCCTCCAGATCGTTTTCACTGTCGTTGAAAAAAGACAAAGACGGAACATGAATGCGCACAGCAGATAGAGATCACCCTTCAGTCAGTAGCATATAGAACTTTAACAGTAAAGAGCCAAGCACCGAACAATGGGCAGTGGGCTTGCCAATTCACTAACCTTGCTGCAGTGATGTACTCCTGAAACACACTGGGGTTAACACAATGCTCCTCTTCGCTGCTCTGTGTTTTCTTTACCACATGTTCAGTTTCCTGAGAAGATAGGAAAGAATGACACAGCAGGTACACACAACACGCATAATATTTCCCAGATTAAATTTGTGGAGTCTGGGAACAGGCACCTTGTTGTAGCAGTGGATAAACTCTCCTAGCTGGTGGGACAGGATGCGTCTGCGGTCTTGGAGTGGAAGCTGTCGACTGGGCAAGACCACCTTTATGTCTTGTTGAAGGTTACTGGCTGCTCTTCTCAGGAAGCGAATCACCAGCTCCTGCGCAGAAAAAAAAAACATTCATATCATCACTTCCCTGAATCTGATTCATCCAGCTGCACTTATTCAAGCTGCCTGTGTGTTCGCCTTTTCAAAGCAGTGAACCTTAGCATTGAATAGCCTAGAGGTTGACTTGAATTCACATTGATTTTCCCCCTAAGGTTTGAGGTCACTGATGATGATGATGATGATGTTGATGATGTATGCTCTAACAATGCAGACTTTCCCATCAGGCTAACTTCTACAGAGACCACGTTTTCCTTCAGTGTGGCCACAAATGTCTCGTACACATTTCAGCTCCAGCCAGGGTACATATGAGTAACAGAATAATAATAAGGGGAAATCTGGCATGTACACACATACAAGGGAGGCAATGCCCCAGGGCACTCCGCTCATGTCCATTTATTAGGAAAGGGAATTAAAAAAATGCTTATCATTATACCATTTGCTCGTTGTCCTTGTCTGGCCAAGCTGGGATGGTATTTGCCCTGCTTTCTGCCAGCAGTCTTTGCTGGACTCGCTGCAGGTAGGAGGAAAAGGCCATCCGGGCCTGCACTTTACTGCAGAAGGAGCAAGAGGAAAATCATCAAGAAGTGCATCGGTAAAGCAATGGAAAAGGAAAGACGGAGCAACAGTTGATGGTAAACATTATCGACTGGGTCCTCTGCTAGGAGATCTTTGGTGCATCTGTTGCAACAGAAAGAACAAGCAGTACTCATTCATATATTCATGAGCTGACATATCATCCGGAAAAGAGAGCGAGAAAGCAACAACAGGTATGTATCACTTTCAGCCAAACTGTGTTGAAACACAATGTATCTTGTCTTGCACGGTATCAAAATGATAAACTGTCTTTGTGACCTGCGTAAACCTGGAAAGAGTAGTGTCAGAAGATTGAAAAAATAAAAAGCTGTCACACACAAACAATGATACGCTGTACTATAATTTCCCTGCTACATGCACAGTCCTGGCGAGCACTGAGGAATTTCTACAAACTCAGACTTGTTATTGTAATTCTTCCTCAAATTATAATTTCCGGCACACTTTTCAAATCCCCGTCAGACCGCAGTAGGCAATATGTACATCGTTTCATATGTGTTAATGATGTGTGTATGGTATCTTTATCGAGATAAAAGGGAAGATGTTTCTCATACTCTGCCAATTTGGAAAGCATTATGCATGTTGATATCATCTTACCACAACTCCCTACACGTCTCACTCAGCACACAGTCAAGCTGTGGCTATCACAGAATAGGTTAGTTTTTCTTTTTAAAAGCAAGATCTAGCTTTGTTGCAGGCCGATCATGAACCTTAGCACTTCTGACAGAACTCTTACCTGAGATGCTTCTTCCATCTGCACTTGCTCAAAACTAACTAGACTGAGGAACCACCAGGTGTCAAGCTTTTAGTGAGAGTAGTTAAGAAAATACCAAAATAACACAAAGATAAATATAAACAGTACAATCATGTATTTTCTATCCAAATGTGTAAGTTGTGGCGGACTATAAGACTCTCTGACACGGAAAATAAACAATGAAAATAATTAAAATATTTGTTGAGTCCAGCAATAAATAAGCAAGTCACAGGCAATGGATCAACCTGTGGTGACGATTACAACAAAGACATACTGTATGTCGTATGGTGACATGGGTACACACGAGTGGGAGGTGCATTAGTGCATTTCATATTTCCCCTTATTCTATAGGGAAGGAGGGAGAAGAGAATACAGTGAAGGAGGAAGATGAGAGCAGCAGCAGCCCAGCATTACAGACTGACCTGAGGTCCCAGCCCTGCTGAAGGATGTTGAGCAGGTTGACTCTGGGCTTGGCATTGTGCGTGGCTGCCTCTGAGCTGGACAGAGCCTCGCTGCGGCAGCGCTCCAGCGGTGTGGCTACTTGTTTTCTTTGCTCTGTTACCAAAGCCTTGTGTGAGACTGACTCGAGAGCTTGTTTCACCTCCTCCCTTTCCTCCTGAGCGCACTCCTCTCCCTCCTGACTGCTGCTCTCCATTGGGGAGGCCTTGGATTCCTTCCCTGAGGTATGCAGCATTGCAAAGGAAAGACACATGTCAATTGCATCACTGTCATTTTGGATAAAATACACACATAACCTCAAAATAGGAGTTCCATTGTTGCTGCAATGAAATTAACTCATTCAGAGTCATATTTGGCCAACCTTACCATGACACGGGAGACGTCTTTATTGGAAACAGAAATGCATTAGCTTGTGATGTTGTCCCACTTAGCTACACTCTGGTTAGTGTTTCCTGAAGTGAGGCAGAACACATCAGGCCTACCGGATTTCTTCTTGCCTGCAGCAGAGGGCTGTCTCCTCTTCCGTGCCTCCAGAGACAGCAGCTTCCTCTCGTACTGGACATCGTGACATCCGTGGACGGCATCCACCTGCAGCTGCACATTTCCGTTCATATTCCTGAGAGAAAGAGCAAGACGTGTCGTCACAATAACAACAACTATGATGATTTATATGTGTATCATCAACATTTACGAAGCAGAGCAACAGTTGTAAATTTCAACTTTAACTGAAGTCAGTTCTGAGAAAGATTAATGTGGTTGAGTAGCTTGTCCAGAAGTTAACATGATGGTCCAGAGGAGAGAAGATAAATGACAAGTAATAACAGAAACTGAGGTCTTGTTGCAACAAACATTTCCTTAATCTGGCTAACGGACAAAAAGCCCTTAGATGGGCTTAGTTGCGGGCCAAATCTCCAGACAATATTGCACAATAGTCTAAGCTGCGGTAAAAACTCTAAAACCCATCCTGATTCAAATAACACAATTGCATGCTGTATTACAATAACAAAATGTGGTTCAATAAAAAAAGCACAGTTCATCTATAATTGTCTTTCCCCTCCTGCCCCCAAATCACCGCCACAAAGCCACATAGACATTGGGCGCATGCTGGAAAAGTTGACTGTGCAACCAACGTCTTTTCAGCTGTTCCTCTCACCTATCCAATCCAAAGACCAAACAAACGACACTTTAGAATCCAACCGTTTCCACAAACTGATGGGGAGAATTAATCCCCGATCCCGACCACAATGGAAATGCTTACCTTCCATGGAAAAGTCTGTTTGCCAACATGTAGTTCATTGATGTCTTGGACTCCAGATATCCACTGAGAGAAGAAGATAATAAGCAAATTACAATAATCATAAAGGCAGAAGCCCCAATGAGCCTCGGCCTCCTTATTTGCGGCAAATGTGTTATTTAGGCTTCTGTGATATGGCAGCCACAGTTAAATGCACCAATAATTCCCCAGAAGGCTCAATAATATGCTTTTGAAAATGCCACAAAATCCCTGCTGCTGGGAGAGCCATGGAACTAATCAAGCAACAAATCCTCATATCGGAATATGAATTGCAAGCACAAAAACAGATTTCCTCTCTAATAGGGCCTCCGATGCCATTTCAACATAAAGTTGCTGTCCAATATAAGCCTTTCCTGGAACATAATATACAGAGCTCAAGAAAAACCAAGTTGGTGCACCTTAGTCTGGTGGTTCAATTAGTGACAGTCAAGAGGAGTCGTGTGGTCTGGCTTTATGCACTGATTGCATTCATATAATCTAAGTGCCCCACTTATTTGAAGACAGTATTAATAATGAGTAACATTATAGACAAACACTCCTTGGGGATTACAAGTGTCTGTTTCTTCTTGGCTCAGCTCACCCATAGAGCTCCCAAGTGTCTGCGGTGGGGAAGATCCTGACGAAGCCTCCCCGTCTCTCGTACTCTTCCTTTATCCTCCGCAGCACTTTGATCTATGTCAGTGAAACAAAACAACAGACGTTTGCTAACAGTTTTTCAAGGTTACTGTACTTTCAGGTTCCCATAACGTGTCAATTCAACAAAGTCACCCACTTCATGTCACAATACAACCATTTCAAAGGCCTTACCTCGTCAGCAGTCAAGCTCAAAGTGCTGTCTCCTTGGCTTTGTTTAGGTCCTAGCTTGTCTTTCGACCCGTCTGTTTCTGAGTTACTAGCTGGTGTGGGCCTCTGATGCTACAGGGGACAAGTGTGGAGACAAAATCAACTAATGCCAACCACTAATGCCTCCTGTTATATCTCTTTCCAACATAAACACTTGCCAAAGTAAAAACAAAATAATAATTAATCACATTTTTTTTATTAATTCAAGGATGCCTTAAAGGTTGCAATTTGTTTTTTACATTTTTGCTAAAGATATCACTGACAAACAACCTACTACTCATCTGAAACACAATTCTCCTTTATAAAAGTAAAATGTGCAAACTACAGCTTGTGTAACTCAAAATACGCTCTCTTCTTTTCTGCCTGTCACATAAATGAAGCCTTTTTGTTTTGCACTGGCCTCCCTGGCTGCCTCCACGCTGCATGTTCTACCAGGCTGTGATTGACAATTTTGGCATGCAGGTTGGAACTTGGGCCAGGCAGAGGGGCACAACCCCACAGGATCACATACAGAATTTGTCATCTAAATAGCAGGGGGATTATATTCAATTTGTCTGATGCGGCTGGGGGGGGGGGGGGGAAAAAAAAGGAGGCCAAATCCTTCAAAAAAAAAAAAAAAAAAGACTCATCTGTTGCTCCTCATGAGTAAAGGGACAGGAGAGGTTCTCTAAAGGGCCCTGGAGTTCTACAACAGCCTCTGTGGTTTAGTGTTGGGCTTGTTTTAGCAACGTCTCAGTAACTCTGTACATCAAAGTCTCTGAGCTTTGGGTCAAGTGGTGCATTGCAGCACTTAAAGCACTTGCTTACTAAGGCCACTTCGCTAATGAGAATTCTATTAAATATAGCATTAGAAATCAATCTGTCTGTGTCTGTCACTGTGACAAACAGTAAAGCTACATAATCAAATAAGGAGAAAAGCAGTAAGCAATTTCTTACCGGTAATGTTACAGGCATCAGGGAATTGCAAAGAAAACAAGACAAAAGAAGATTAATATGTCTGAGTCTGAAGAAAACTCACCGTTCTGCTGTGTGCAGTGGCTGTCGCTGCAGAAAGAGGTTTCTAAGAGGCAATGGGTGAAGACATTGAGTTGTGGGTGAACATCAGCATTACTGTTTAACCTATAAGAAGCCGCATACAGACGGCGCGCATGCTCCATCGATACGCAACAATGAAACATTGTTACTGTATCTCTAAACAGGCTCTTTACACAACATAAGGTGGAGCAGAAATCTCTCTGATTTAGTAATCTCCCTCCAGCAGATCCTAAAGCGCCAAATCTGGGTGCAGTAGTCGAGGGGAGGCAGCCAAGTGCATTGGCTGTTGTGGCATCATTAGGCAACAAGGCTTGGAGAGAGCATCAGTCGCTTGATTAGAAATGATAAAACAATAAGACACAGAGAGTAACACTTATAAACTGATGTCACTCAAACTGTGTAATTACATTAGCAGTTGTTTTGCATTACAGTGAGTTTTCCATGAGGGTAGAAGAAGAGCTCAGTGACAATGGCAGGAATGTACTGTAAGCAACACAGATATGAAGACAAGAATGGGAATGTTTCACAAGGAAGGGTGAATGAGTGCAACACTTGGCTCAGCTCTCTGCTGTGTGCTGTGCGTGTGTGTGTGTGTGTGTGTGTGTGTGAGAGCATCCAGTACCTGTGTTCTTTGGGCTGCTGGGTGCTTGAGGCTGGGGTCCAGGGAGACTCGGTCAGAGTGCGGTTGCCTCGATAGGGGGTCCTGACACACAAAGCCTGCGGGGACACAGTAGAGCCATAAAGAGCTATATCAATGACATCAGATCTTAAACATGCTACTCATTCCCATGACCTTCATATATTGCATCAGATCTTCAATGTTAGTGCAAGAAGACCAAAGTACAGCGAGGGACACAAAGGCAATATATGTACATGTAAATCAACTATATCTTTAACAATATCATTCTCAGTCAAAGACATATTTGCTCTCAAAAAAAAGGAAGACGTGTTTTGATATACTGACTCACCACAGCCCCCTGATGTGAACCACTGACCTAACAGAATAGTTTGACATTTTGAGAAATACACTTATTTACTTTCTTCCCCAGAGTTATATGAGAGGATTGATATCACTCTCACATCTGTCTGTTGAATTTAAAGCTACAGCCAGCCGCTGGTTAGCTTAGCTTAGTATAAAGACTGGAAACAGGAGGAAACAGCTAGCCCAGCACTGTCCAAAGGTAACTAAATCTGCCTACCAGACACCATCAAGGGCACTAATTAACACGTAATATCTTGTCTGATTGGTCCCTACAAACACCAAAGTGTAAAAACAACAATTCAATGTTTTATGGGAAGTTACATGTCAGACTATTTCTTGTCTCGGAGCAGTTGCCAGGTAGTCATCGGAGGCTCTTGGAAATTACAGCTAGTATCCCTCATAAAATGTTGTCATTTGTGAGCTTTAGAGGTGCTGGTCGAGGTATTTTGTTACCGTCGGACAGAGCCAAGCTTGCTGTTTCCCCTTGTTTTCAGCCTTTATGTTAAGTTATCCTAACCGGCTGTTGGCTGTAGCATTACAATGGTCAGACGGGAGAGTGGCATCGTTCCTGCCAGCTAAATCTGCGCCAGAGAGAAAATACATTTCCCAGAATGTCAAACTATTCCTTTAACTTTTATTCAGGGAAAGAAGATATGTTTTCTAATTTTCTAACTCTACTTTGGATCTTTATAGCGCCACACAGTGGTAGTTGATAAGGGTGGGGAAACATGCTTGTAATCCACATTTACCACAAAGGTGTTCCCACCCAGTCAATACGATTTGAATCTATGATCTTCTGTTAATTAATTCCCACACTCCCTCGAGGCTAATAGAGGTAAAAGAGAAATGTTAAAGAAATATGTTTATGTTGCATCTTGCAGTCACACTTGAAGTGAATCACGTCCATTGACAGCTTGGAGCTCGAGGCTATTTGTACTACCTCATCCCAGCCGTCAGGTAAGAATCAGGCCTCTGCCACGGTCTTTCCCAAACACTGCAATTATTACAAACATGGGCGACACGGAGCTGACAGCTTCACACAGGCGGTAAGTGAATGCTAATGGTATGCTGTCATTATTTACAGGTCTGGGATGCGGCCCAAGTGTTATCAGCCAACAGCGCCTTAGTTTGTTTGGTACATAATAGATGTGCTATGTTTTACATGCCACTGCTCATTTTCCCCAGACCCGCAGGAGCGTCTCAGTCCAAAGATAACTGGCAATTTATGATTCTACTCTTTCATTTAATGAGCAAGACCGGAGGGTTTCAAGCCACAGCATGGACTAGGCTGAGACACATGTGCACTCACACACACACACACACACACACACGCACACACAAACACACATTAGCTATTCCTTTAATATCATTAGGAGACCACGGACAGACTTAATGGTTCAGTGATAGTTTTGATGGATGCCTGCTAATCAGTGGGCTCCATGTATTCTGTGAATGGTAATAAGGATAAATCACAGGATTAGGTTAAGTTAAATATTAAAAATCAAGAGACGTGGAAGTTGTGGCTAATATTTGTCTCTTTTTTGCTCAGACAAACTGTCAGACCTCTGCATGCAGTCATGGTGTTGTATTCTGCTTGATTTGAACTATTATAAGCTTTTCGTCTGCATGAGGATTCAATAATTAAGTAGGGAGGATATATATACAGAGACACATCTCATTCCCTGCTACAAACAACGCTGTATAAACAGTGTTTATCTCTGCCTTGGGCCAGGCATTTATATCTTCATGTGAAAGATTGCTTTAGTTTGACATGTCAGATCCAGTTTCTCAAGAAAGCTTAATGACTACAAAACAACTAAGGCCTCTGTCGAGAATTTTGTCCGCAAGTCATTTGATGTTAATTAATGAAGTCTGCGGTTTATTCTGTCAACACTGGCGCTCCTATTGTGAAGCCATACAGCTATTTTTGGCAGTTTGCACAAACTAAATGAGTGGAGTGAAGGAAAACATTGAGCATTAAACAATAGACAACTGTCTCCACCTGCATGAAACCTGCTGGTTACAAGTAAGGCCAACTATCATTAATACCTTAGGAGTGATGTTATATCAGCTTTTCTAACATTAACATCTTTGTCCCAATTACATAGTTCTGCAATGAATAATCTCTGAGTTGTACCTCAAGTAAAATAAATAATACATTTGACCAATTATTTATGTTTTTAATTATTCAAATCTAAAGTATGAGAATTGTTGTTAGGAAAGTCTCCAAGAACATCTTGAGAGTCATTGGAATTTTGTTGAATTTTGACTGTTGATGGATTATTTCAAATGTATGCCTTTATGTCATTCAAATGTGCAATTCTTTATGCGCCGCCTCTACACAAGGTTTTTCCTCCTCTGTTAATTATGTGGTGGTTGATAATATACCTTGTGAAAGTGTTCACAGATTAAAGTTTCTACTTGTTTGGTGTACTTTATCTCACCAGCATATAATTTACTGGTGTAATGGATTTAAAAATCTAGCTATAAGCAGTGGACGTACGTGAACTCAATGTCTACGCAGTGCAATGACTTGTGCAAAACTTTGGAACCAAATGCAAGTTGTATTTCGTCATTGTTTCAGCACGCACTCACCCACAAGCGAAAACATGTCTGCAATCATGCTGGCCTTTATCTTCAGATCCAAGGGCGCATCACTGTTTTTTGTTTTTTTAAAGAAACAAAAAACAAACAAGAAAATTACAACACATTGACGGAGTTGAGAAAATGAGTCAACTGTGATTAGAAGATACAGATCGGTTGTGAGACCTTGACTAGCTGCTACACTGAGGGGGTGCTTTCACAACGTGTGAATGCCATTTCCTTCAATGTGGCTTTTTATTGACACTTTCTTCTTTCTTTTGCATATTCCACAAAAGAAAAAGCCTTGTTCAAGTTGGTCTAATGTAACAACAAAATAAAGAAATGATTAAGACAGTGTCACTCACCAGGCCAGGGAGGGAGAAAGGTTCACCTCCAACAACCAGGGTTTCAGGTTGGAGTCAATGAGCACGTCGAAACCATACAGTTCTACAGAGGGAAACACAGAGTGAATCCAAAGGCTTCCACCACTGAAACCTCTGAGATCACTGAAAATAAAGCATGCAGGCTATCAAAGTCACTAGAGTTCGCTCATAGCCCCATTATGTGGCATTTGGCAACATGGCCGTTGTCTTTCTGCTACTGATTACACGCATGTTATATCCCCAATCACTCAAGAGAGAAACATTCACCAAAGCCTGCTACTGAGGGATTGGCTCAATTACATTAACTAAGTACATACACATTTCATCTGTCATGAAGTTGCTTACGTAAGACGGTAGATCAAAAAAAAAAGCACTGCAGGCTGTGAATATTTAAATACATACCGTCAATAGTTTTCTCATGACTGGTACGGTTAAGCAGTATACATATTGTCACTACACATTAACAAGAAGGATGACGCACTGAAGGGGACCAGAGAACACTTCACCCCCGTCATCGAGTCAGGATCTTAGCTATAAAATATGAACTCCAGAAGTACAAAGCTGGAAATGTGACAGCATGTCCCAATTTGGAGAAACGTGGGGAATTAGGCTATATATTGTATATATGTCACTCCAATAATAGCTTAGCACTGAGTGACACAATAAAAGGATTTTACAAAGTGGTCAGGAAGTTCCCTGTGTAAAAATCCATCCATTCTATCCCGATTTTTCATCTTGTTTCACTGACTGACATATATATATATATATATATATATATATATATATATATGGCTCACAGAGGCAGAGTTGGCCTATGAAAAGCACTCCCACGGCTCTGGGGAGTGTCACCCTGTAAGCCAACGACCCGCCGGCCCCAGCAGCAGCGTGCAGGGAAACCACAGTATTTTACAGGGATAGGGCAAAACCCAGCCATAGAGCCAGAGGGAAGAAATCCTTGTAATAGCACTTCAAAAGAATAGACTGTGTTGAGAATAGGCCAGGGGGGCTGGAGGTTTCAAAGCGGCCATAACCAGCACTGTTTGTTCTAGCATCTCAGGTCAGTGCCAATGTTAAGCATACAAATGCAGCATGACAGCAAGAAAAGGCTTTATATTGCACTTGCCGGCGTAATGTTAGGCTGGTCTAACAAGAGGAGTTAAATGTATTTGTCTGTACATTACTTACTGTGGATATCTGTGAAACAAATGTGCACCCTGTCAAGGCCATGCCTAACAAATATCAAGTAGTTTTACTTGACAATGCGTATACATATTTGGTGTTTTGAATAAAGGAGCATAGATAAGATAAGGTAACTCATCATGAGGAGCACTATAGAACGGGGGCTTTGCGTTTGAAAGACAAACAGTGAGACTCTATTAAAAGATACTATCGAGATGCATGGGACATTTAGGATCCAGGGTTTTTCCAGACTGCTTCCAATTTGACCGATCTATTTTTTAATCTGCCTCTTGTGAGTCCACCGACTTTATTGAAATGTAATACTAAATCGCTCCTTAAAACATTAATTGGAAGTTTTCTTTCTCTACTCATCTTTCAACATCTGTATTAAGTCAAGTTGGCTAAAACGCACATTGGATTTTGTCCTTTGGGCTGTATTACATGGGTCAGGGGGTCAAAATATGGTAGCTTCATGAGGTCCAAATTGGTGTAACTGCAAACTGTATTTTCATGATGGAACTGAACAAGGTTTGCCATACGCCGCTGCGCCAAGAGCAGCAACTGAAGCTGCCACGGCCATCTTTAACTTCTTTAACTCCTGAGGATGGGATGGGGCCCCCACTGCTAAACAGTGAGCAGAGCACTAAGATTTTATTTTCCACTCGTCGGCTTATCCCGTTCTAGCCACTTCTGTATAAAAGCGCACACATAAAACATTATATGCATTAGTCCTGGGGAACAGAGCACTGGAATAAATGGGTTTGAGCCTGTAGTGCCTCACCAGTGGCACCACAACAACAGGGGAAAATGAGGAGGCGTTACACCGCCTCACCAGCCCCGACAAGCAGGCTCCATGTGCCGCTCATTTTCCCCCAATTAGGAGCAGACGCCGCTCCTGCCCCATGAGCCTGCCATGCCGCTCACTGCTAGACACGTTTATCTATGGCTCGACCGCTGCCGGGGGAGCGCTGTTAAATGTGCCCACAGAGAGGCCACAACAAGCATCACAGACAAGGACAGACAAGGAGAGCAGCGAACATCCACATCACACCCATGAAAGAGGGAGGATGAGAAAAGATGATGCAGAGCTGTTTTTATATGTGTTATTGGATGGGCGCTGCTGGAAACTTCACCACAAGAGACAGACGCCCAAAAACAATAATCTCCCCACCCTGGCCATGCAGCCGGTTGGCTCCCCACAACAACAGCAACATGAAGTCGTTCCTTCATGTGTGTTTTCTTCATGTGTGCATCATTCTGGGATGAATTAGTGTCGGTGCAGGGAGCACAGCGGAGCGGTTTGGAGCCACAATCGTGAAAACACTCTGAGGACAACAAATTAAAGCAAAAGTTAGCACTCTATACCCAGTCCATTAATCATTCTTTAAAAGATTTTTGAATTATGCAGCAGAGACACTGTCATCACAGGCGTAACAAACGCTGTGCTGCAGCGGAGTGTGGGAGTGTCTGACAAATGTAAAACAGGGAGTGCGGTTCACAGACAGGGGATCCGACCACACTCAGCACTTAATGAGGGACGTTCAGTGGAACACAGGACCAGTAAGTGGAATGTTTTGTGTGTAATAAAATAGGCCTTTGGCTTGGCTAATCAGATCTTAGACAAAACATCTCGTAATCAGCATCCCTCAGCAGAAAGCCTGTCCATTAATCACACGGCAGCGGTAAGTAGCTGCATGGGTGGCATTTTCTCCCCACAGACACACACACACACACTCTCTCTCTCTCTCTCTCTCTCTCTCTCTCTCTCTCTCTCACACACACACACTTCTTACCAATGTAAAACGAAAAATCTTTTGTTTTTATTTCTCCCCACATGAGACATTACGGAGCTATAAAAAAAGTTTTGTTATAGTATGCCCATTTAGATACGGATGTGCAATTTGCGCAAAGGGAAGAAATCCCATTTGAAAACAATAAACATAGCATTAAAGCCATTAATAGACATTAAAATGGCAGGGAACAATTTGCAGTAAATTAAGATGATAATGTGCTTTATGATCTTGCTTGGCCCACTTCCAGACAAGCAGAAGACCATATAAAAACTCTAAACAATGGCTTGCTTTTATCGGCACATTGGCCCTGCATCTGATGCTTTACCTGTTTACAATTACAGGCAGCTGCCGAGGCCCTGAATGAATGCTGAGTGCATTTTAGGTTGCAGGAGGAGAGTGAGAAAGTAGTCAGGATATGTGCAGCTCCCAAAAGAGAGCCGACGCTGACAACGGCAGACTGAACATGACTCCTTGGTGGTTTGGGTGGGTTTGATTATAAGCTTATACAGACCTGTGTGTTTGTAAAACCCGTGCTTTACACTGGTTGCTGCATGTCTCTATATTCGTACTGTCCATACATACTCAATGAGCACACTGGGAGAAACAGATGCACAGAGACAGGACGAGGGTGGTCCTCTGGAACCGTCAGTGTCTTGTCTTTGGAAACTTAATCCTGTAGACAGAACCATGAATGCTGTAATTAACTTGCTTGGGGCCATCTGACTAAATTCAATAGTAAACTGATATGGTTGAAGTAGGGTAATGGACATGTTCACAGCAGACCACAGTGTATTATATAGCTGAAGAAAAGGTGTAGAACCTAATTGCTTTCGTGCCACACAGTGACATTGCTGTAGTATATATGTCCATACAGGTCTCTATAGGCTTACGTATTGGATTTCAACATACGCGGATGTTAACACCCTCGATCACCCTCGAAGCTAAAGGTAATGATGTTGTTGTTCATGGTTTCATTTCACATTCAATGTGGACTCAGAGTCAAAATAAATCAAGAGGGAATATTAATTTAGAAATATGATCTGTTGCTGCTTCCATAGCTGCACAATGTACGACACAAGAGACGGCACCAGACAGTGTAGTGTCATCAGTAAGCTTATCATTGAACATTTAAAGCATTGTTGTGATTGGGGCATGGGGATGTGTATTAACAAAGATTCCAGATTTACCTGAATGAGTGAATGAATGAGAAGGGCCAACTTGTTTTTCCATTCCAGCAAATATGTGTCATCTGGTTGTTTATTCGTGTCCACCACATGTGCATGAGAGCCAGGTTGCGGCATGGTAAGCCACATTTCCCCGTAAATACCTGCATGGTCAACATTCACACCCTGGGCTAATGTGGTCTTTCCAACTAGCAGTTATGCTCAGAGTGCAGATAGCATCTTTACGCAGGCGACTGTCTGATGGTGTGAGTCCATGCTGCTATACAGCCCAAACAACCACCAATCAGGGGGGCTATTATGTCTACAGAAGCCTGTCACAACTGCAAATTCCTTTATTTTTCTAACATCTGAGAGGTGAAAGAGAGTGTGAGCAGGAGAGGGAGAATCATAAACAAACAGAAACAGCGAGAGAAGAGGAAAAAGAGACAGCGGTGTTGAGGGAGGCTTGGCCAACGTGCTCGCTTTCAAACCCCAAATTCTCAGAGAGACTGCCAGACAGAGAGAGAGAGAGAGAGAGAGCGCAGACAATTAGTGCCAACACTAACATGGGTAATGGCTCCAAAATGGAGTTCACACGAGCCCATTGCTAGGCAGGAGCAGCCAAGAAAACAGTCAGCCTAAAACAGGCAGACCTGAATGGCAACAGAGAGGAGGAAGCAAATTCTTGCCTCAGTCAATAGGCCCTCCACGGCCCAGCAGCCAGTCAGAGGGCAGCAACGGGCAGGAAGGCTCCACACTGAGGAATGACTGTCTACAACCTCAGCTCGGCTCAGTGTAGAAATAGTATCGAGGAACTGCTGGACAATGAATATGAAACTGAAAGGAAATGTGAGGGGTGGGGTAGTGTGTGTGTGTGTGTGTGAGTGTATCTGCACTGTGAGCAAAAAAAGGGAAATTCATTTAAAGGAAATTATTTTGAAGCTGCAATTCTTCTCTTCGAGTTTCATTTTGTTGTCCTGGATGTATTTCACCTTCAAACCAGCTGCTGACGTTTAGATAAATGGTAAATGGACTTGTACTTGCGTAGCGCTTTTCTAGTCTTCCGACCACTCAAAGCGCTCAAACGCTACATGTCATCATTCTCCCATTCACACCCATTCATACACTGATGGCAGGGTCTACACCATGCAAGGTGCCACCTGCCCATCAGAACTCTAACTAATCATTCACACCCATTCACACACAGCAGGCACAGCCTACGGGAGCAATATGGGGTTAAGTGTCTTGCCCAAGGACACATTGACATGGACTAGAGGAGCCGGGGATCCAACCGCCGATCCTCTGATTGAAGGACGACCCCTGCTCATCAGCACGGGTGTAAACGTGTTCAACTTTGGCGGACTAGGTTGCTTTAGTCTCTGTAAGGTCAAAAACATTTGAAGAAGAAATATGAAATGATTACCAAAGCAGTTTGTTTTGTGGGGAACATACATCTTGCAGGCGTTGGCTATCTGAAGCTCAGCACTCAACACTGCTTTGACGATCAGGTCCTCCACCTTTCTCATCAGCACTGGAATAGACAAAAATACAGAGATGACTTTCTGTAGCACTCTCATAGGATTCTTATGTTGTGGTTAATTGACACGTTTTGTTCGAATCTAAAGGGGGGAAAACATGCATGGACATATAAACATGAAAAGGGTGAGCAAGGGAATAAAACGAAGCTTTGACTCACATGTGGTGTCCTTCCCCTCCTGCTTCAAATACCTCAACACTGCACTCATACTCCACTTGTTCCCATAATCCTCAACTTCAGGGTCATCGCAACTGAAAGGAAGGAAACTTCACTTCAAACGCTGAAGTTCTAACAAATAGACGAGTCAATCGAGCTGCCCGTAACAGCTCCGCATCCACTGGTGAAAGTTACCTGACATAATCGCTGCTCTTTTTGTTCACGCTGTAGTTGGTGAGATGCATGAACGTGTTCTTAATGTTCTTTGAAGTCCGGTCATACTTGACGGTGGCAAACCTGCAGACAGACAGAGTGTATTTGTGCAAGAAAGAAGAAGAAGAAAAAAAAACGTCTGTCATCCAACAATTTCACTACATATCTATCCGCCATAATGACTACATTCATAAGGCTGACACTTCGCTGAATGATGGGGGCACTTTGGAGGAAGAGATTAGCTCCTGGCAGTGTTTGAGAGGAGTGGATGCCACATGTGCAATACTGAGAATTCCTTGGCATGCACAGTGTACCTGAATACCAACACAACCTGAAGGAATGTCAAGAGATAAAAGTGGGATTCAGAATTTGGCCGCGATTTATTGTCCACAGTTGATAATCAAGCCAGCAAACAAGAGGGCGGTCGCGTTTTGTTTCCAGCACGTACCTCTATCAGACCAAAGCGAAGAGCCGCTCCTTCTATAAATCATCTAACTCCTCCTGCTCTACCTGTGCCTGACAATAGCCGCTTTGTGGATTAATAAATAAGCCTTGCTTTAAATAAGAACATCCAATAAATATAGCACAGATATGATCTTTGAACGATGACACTATCAGTAACATTTGATGAGCACAACTGGAACAATAGAGCGCTTTGTTTCAAAGTCACCACCATGGCGCATGCCACACAACAGTTGGTCTGCAGAGTGAAGGCTGCCCTCTTCTGGACACTGACGGAGCACCAGGCAGAGTCTAAGCAACAATCCAACGTTTAAACTCGTTTTGTCTCAGTACTGAATTTGCTTTATCAAAAGATTAGGTTTTATATGTTTTGTTACTTATTTTGTCAGAAATCAAACCTAGGAAGCAAACCATTATGGAGGCAACAGCTTTAAGAAGTTTGCAAAGCACTTAAATAAGATAAGATAAGATAAGATAATAATAATCCTTTATTAGTGCCGCAGTGGGGACATTTACAGGATTAGTAGAGGATAGTGCAAACAAGAGACATAGTAAAAAAACAAGATCAAAACAAGTATTATAAATAAGTACAAGTGGCACAATATCAATTGTGCCATACAATGTTATTTTGCCCCGAAGAATATCAGCGACCACCGTATTGCCGGGTGATCGTATTTTCCAAATCATGTCACAAACAACGCAAAAAAAAAACACACACAGCTCACCTCGCCAGGCCCTCCTCATACATGTAGATGAGGACTGGATCGTATGATGTTACCAACACATACAACCGCACATCAAACTTGAACTCTGCAAACCAAACCAAAAGTAGAGTCACTCACACCGATTACTTACAAATGAAGACGTGGCTGTCAGTGGAGAAGAAGAAGAACTCACCGTCTATCAGTAGTGGGTTATTAATATAGCGAGACACCAAGATGTTCTCATCCATTAAAATCTGATTTGGCTGCAGATGATGAACAGAAAGAGATAAAAGACAATATCATTAACACGATGATGCAGATGAAGGCAGTCGATCATAATCATCTTAACATGTTCAAAGTGTTGATGAGGTTGGTATGGAGGGTAAATTAATTGACCAACTTATTTACTAAAGTGATGAAGTGAGACTTAACAAACTCAATCAACATCTCTCAACAGCAGAGCATGAATAACATTTCCATACTTCGTATCACATACAACAGCATTAAACGCTGAATTCCAGATAGATGATGTGACACTGCTGTTAACCATTAACATCAAAGAATCAACAAGAAGAGTCAGAGACTGCAGCGACACTGGCCGTAGCAGGTCAACATTCTCTAACAGCCTATAAAAACACAATCTGGTGGTGGGAGAAGGGTCATTTATGAGGCTGAAATGTGTTGCAGGTGGTGAAGTTGAGAAGAGATGGGACGGAGGCGGGGGGGTGGGGTAACCTCAGTGCTGGCTACAGTTCAGAGAAAACCTGAACCAAAATAATGACCGTATTTCTTTCCTCTCTCCAAATATCACTCTGACATTCTTTCCACTGTTTCATAAAATGCCTGAGAAGAAGAAGGATTGTGCATATGTTTTCCAAGAGTGAGAACCTTGTTGAGCTCCTCCAACAGCCCGGGCCTTGGAAGAGTGTAATTTACTCCACAAAGCTTATTAATGTCTGAAACACCGGTTGAGACTTATTTCAAAGACAGCTGTATCTGCACACCCCTCCACACACACACAAATAACATCTGGACAACTGTTTCAGTTCACACAGTATTTTTTTTAAGTCAGGATGCTTACAGTTATCTCCCACTAGGTCTGTCATTAATATGAATCTGTGTTCAAATTTAAGGTTAGCTAAAAAATTAGTTGTTTCCAGTCTGTGCTAACCTAAGCTAACATCTGCTGGTTCTGCGTAGCCTTAAAGTTATCCTACAGGTTTGTGAGTGGTATCAATCTTCTCACCTCACTATCACCAAGAAAGTCAATATGTGAATTTACCCAGATGTCAAAGTATTCCTTTAACTCAACGCTTTACATGCATGTTAGAGAACGTGTTGTTCCAGTCACTGACGCTCAGCGCTGTTTTACACACTCTTTTAAACAAAAGGCACGTAAAAAAAAACGTCTCCCGTGTGCCAATGTGTAGGAGAACTGCAGTAGCCGACACAAAAATGTGAACGGTCTTATGTAGTGTCGGTGTTTGGTTTGTCGTTCTGGGCTACTGAAGAAACATGGCGGCCGGTTCCATGTTGAGGACCCGCTGTGAATGTAGATGTAAACGGCTCATTCTAAGGGAACGAAAACACAATTCTTATTATTATACACTAAAGAAAACATTCTAAGTAATATCATTTTCCATTTCTGCCAATAGATCCCCAAAAATGCTACACACTGTACCTTTAAGGGATAAGATTTAATAAGAAAGAAAAGAAAAAAACATATTTATGTTAAACAAAACTAAGTGTGAGCTTGAGGGTTCAGTCTTGAAAAGCCAGAAAGTCTTTTAAATCAAGGAATTGAATCGGGAGAATAAATTACTCTTTTTACGAAGTCAGACCAAAAGGTCAGGAACTAGTATTCAAGAGCGAAATCACTCACATTGCTGACCAAGTAGATGCCTCGCCCTCTTGAAGATGCGACTGGTTTTATGATCCAGGGGCCCTTGTCCTTTGCAAAACAGTCTGAGATTGAGGGAGGAAAGACAAGGAGGGATTCAAACAGAGAAAACAAAATGTTTAACGTTTAGAATGGGCAATGCCTGAAAACAGAGAGGTGTACTTTGACAAAAAGATCATGTAAGGCGCGTCTTACTGCAGAATTCCTGGTACTCAGAGGGAAGCACAAAGGTCTGAGGAACGATATGGAAGTTTTTGAAGCCGTGAGTCTGCTGCATCCGCTGGATGTTTTTATACAGACGGTCTTTGCGCGTCAATTCATATGACCTGGAAATAGGCAGAGCCTCCAGTTTTAAACACTGACAGAACACAAAATATATGCAATACATAACTGCAATGGATCGCCCTCTGCAGTATGATTCATTTCGTGTTTTCAGAGAGGCAGCGGGCCAAAACAAAATGCGCTTTGCAGTGGAAGCCAGCAAACACACGGCCTGAACTGACGGGCTTTGAATGGCTCAGTCAGCGGTGATATTTATAACGCAGAAAACAGTGGCAACACACTCGTACGTTGGAGAACTCTATTATTACCTTGGGAAGTGGTTGACCTTCTGGAAGTCTTGCAGGCTGCGTAGTAAGTAAGGCTTGAGGTGAGATCCTGTCCACATGAGATTGAAGTCATTGCTGTTTGGGTGAACCTGAAAAAAGAACAGACAGAATGATTGACCTCACTTAACACGATGGAGCAAATCATCAGTGCACACGAAGCAAATGACATTTGCAAAAGGATCATTAAAAAGAGCATAAAACCGAGCCATTGCTGTACATGCTGAAAATGCTCTGTGGAGTTTCCAGACAGCAGTATTATATTCTGATGTCCATCACATGTGACAGCTCAGTTAAATTAAATCGAAGAAGCATTGAGACACTCCACCAATAACCTGGAGAAACACCGCCAGCTCTTCAGAAATGATCACCAAAAGGGAAAGCCAACTCACAGATTTTCATCACCCTGACATTATTTTATCTGTTTTGTTTTGTTTTATTCCAACAATTCGTTAGGAGGCAGCATAATCAAATGGCTGCTCGGTGTCTAGGGGAGAGCCAGATGTTTGCAATAAAAGCGTATTAGAGTTTGGCTCTGTCGCGGCTGTGGTAGACACTCGTCTGCCTTTGATGATGGGTTAGCGGGAGTCAAGAAGCATTGAAATGATATAAAAAGGGAATTAATTGTAACTGCTTGGAAAGAGCAATAACGGGGATTGTGTGCCCTCGTGAAAAATGGGATTAATGCTCTTGAGGTCATTTGGGGGTTTTTTCCCGTGGGTGCATTCCAGGGCTTTGACATCGGCATTATTAGTCAAAGGAAATAAAAACAGCCCTGCTATCTCTTATCCCACACAGCAGAGAGGTACATAAGTAGCATGTGCAGCTGAGAAACACAGCCTTTTGGAAAAAAATGTAGGCTGATCCTTTAAATTAGCGTGATCCTGCACAGAACATTACCTCATGGAATCCATGATTGGTGAGCAGTCCTCGTACCAGGCGACTCTCTGTGCGCACAATCTTGAAGGCCATATGATATCGCTCTATGGTAAACAAAAGATTCTTAGTATCCAACTCATTGGAGGCTCCAAATTTTAACAATATTATCATCACTTTTCTCATACTCATTGTGTAGTATCAACATATTGTGGTGTACCTCCAGTGGAGCAGATGTTCCCATCTTTTGAAACAGCAGCTTCGGGGAAAAACAAGAGAACTGGGACGGTCTTGCTGAGGCCACTCCAGGCAATGCAGGGATGGTCTCTGGTGCACACACAATTAGATGACACACACTCACAGTTAGAGGCAGATTTACGACATGTCCAAAAAGTCTGGGACCCACAGAACTGTCAAAAATAAGATAATCTAGAAACTTCTGTGCTATGGCGTTCACTTCCGGATGATGTGAACGAACCTATACGGGTAGTTTGCCGTTTATTTCAGTCAGGCAGAAAAAGACAGAACCAAACACATGTTCAGGAGGTTCTGGGGGGAAAACAAACCCATGTACTGTACTCACAAACACCCTTGACGAACTGCAGACTATCTGATAGTACCAGACTCAGCCTGCTTATCAGGGGCGAAGAATAAGATAAGGTAGCACGACGATGGAGTAGAACTCAATCAGGCACGACCGGTCTTGTTTCGGTGGAGAGGCATGTAAACAATCGCTGCCCGTGTCAGACAATGTGGTGTATATCTTTTCCACCGATGTGGCTTTGTTACACACCCTTAAAAAAGGTGTTTTATTTTCAACATAAACCAAGACTCAAGAGTATTAAGATACAAGATGTGAAGGGCTAAGACAAAAGGCCAAATCGTTGTCACCACAGTAATATTTCAGTACAGCATGACCATTTAAATTGAAAATATTTGGCTAAATATGCCACATTGTACATGTACTTGTACATAGATGTGTTTGTCTGTATGTGTGATATGTGCCTCCTGTATTTGCTTGCAACACTTGGTTGTCCTTTGCATTATTTAAGGTTGTCTGTTGTCATAAATTTACGTTAATGTAAACTAAAATCAATTACCATGAACAAAAAAAAAAGTGCCATTCAAGTCAGAGGTGAGCAGAAGATTTAAATCAAATTTGCAGGCGATGCTTGTTTGGTAATAAGTTTAAATCAGACAGGGTGTACTGGAAATACTACATTTCTGTAACATTAAATCAAAGTGTTTTACTGTAGCAGTGTGTGAGAAAAGCCTAAAAGCAGGCGCAGTGGCTCTCAGAACGCCATGACTAAGTATAGCTTAAGACGGAATTAGTTGACCAGGGACAGGTTAACATAGTCACAACTGTTGCTGCTATGATCTAGAGCTAGACGTTCTTCTCTCTCGACCAGCCAATCTTTCATCAATTATGTAAAATGAAAGCTTCCTGGAGGTTGCATTTTGTCTAAATGTATCTTTGCATAAATTATTTAACAGGGCCTCTCCTGTAATCCTGCATAGATCACATTACACAATCAATAAACTATAGTAAATTGGAAAGACAAAGCCTTTGGTACAGCCGCGGGACAAAAAGATATTGCTTTTGGTTAGCATGGTGTTACATTTAGACTTTAGTATTTGGAGTGAAATCTTGAGTTGAGGTCTTATCGGAGGATCAGGAGGCTAAGAACCTAACTGGCACTGCCGGCGACCTGCGTAATTCAGACAGCATCGTTCACAAGCTGCACAGACTGTGAACACTATCTTACTCATCTCCACCTCCGTTTACAACTGTCTGTTATAAAAGACATGCAAACATATCTAGGGAGGAGCGTGTTTTGGAAGAGAAAGTACTCCCACTAGTGAAACAACATAGGTAGGTTTAATGTAAAGCACAAGAATAAACATTCTGATTTAGAAAGTCATTGTGTTTTAATGTAAAAGTTGGCACAGACCTGCTATTTAATTAAAGGCTTATCAACACTAAGGTGACTCTGAGGTGAGTTTGCATGCTGACTGCAGTACACCACTCGGGCACCAACTATTATGTGACTCTACAGTAGACCAGTGTTGTGAGCTGATACTTACTCGTCTTCTGAAGAGGACTCCGAGTCCTCCTTATCCCGGATCACAGCAGGCATCTTCACAGTGAAAGAGGACGAGCTGCCCGGTGAGATCTTCTCGGCATCAAGTGTCTATGTCTCACCATGGCACCTAACGCTCACCACCTCCGACTGCAAAAACATAAATAGTTCAACTCAGTTCAAACAAACGTCAGCCCATTCATGCAAAATCGTAGCTTTATCAATGACCATGTCACAACGGCTCGTAACACATAATGTAAATTCGTTCAGTCCTGAAACAGTGCTACACATTTAGCACTAAGTTAGCTGAGAACAGCTCTACATGTAGTATTATTGACGTTACAGGGGACAGAAGACGTTACGACTAACGTTAGTTAAACCCAGACAGAGAGCCCATAGACAGCCAAACAAGCGTTAGCTAAATACAAATTAAGGTTGACGTTACTGTCATATTACTTTAGTTACGGGAAGCTACTCTGGTCTGCTTAGTTTGAGAGTTAAGTAGACGTTTTTACGATGCCAGACAAGTACACACCAACGTAAACTTGCCTTTATCTCTGAGATCCTGCTTACTGCTAGCTAGCTGCTATCAGCAGGGCCAGTTGATCATCGCGGTTAATCTTCCTGGTAACTACAACAACTGTGTAGCAACAGAGCACGGAGCATGCGCAGTCGCGGAAAAAAACATTTGTCCAACTGACCAAATTTTGCATTGCATCTCTGTGCACCCACCCAGTGGTGGGACGTGGGAGTGTCAAACGAAAAAAGCGCATAATAATGTATGTGGTTTTGTGTGTTTAAAAGATATCACATGCGAAAAATAAATCAAATATGTTGCTATTGATGCGCATGTTGCTTGATTAGTATCCGTTATAAACTGAATTAAAAACTGTAATACTCAAACCAGTGTATTAACGTTTTCCTCTCCGGATATTATGGTAGTATTAACGTTACTCGAATGTTTTTTTTTACCTCAGTGACACCTTTAGCAGTTCCTTACGTTGTACTTACTCAAGCGTTACTTTAACAGATTTAACGAAGACACAAGTCACCACAGAGTACTCTGCTGTCCGATATTTACTCTTTGTTTGAACGCAGCCTCGCCTGCAGTCTACAGGTGACCGAATTATCTGGTTTCTATTGGTTGGATAAGAAAGTGGGCGGGACCTGAAAGCTCGTTTGGGCCAATCATATGAATGGTACGACTGGATGGAGCCATTTCTTAAACTCTGTCATTGGTCATCCCCTCAGTCCAAGAGGAAAATACTTACTATTGAAAACATAACACCGTTGGCTTCAATCCCACTTAATTGTTTCATATTCAGTCATTTCTCTCAGGATATATGTCCACGTGGTAGTTTTGTAGAGGCCACCAGGTAAATATAATATTTTTGTTATCATAATAGGCTCGTTCATTAAGGTTACGTCGTGGTCAGCCTGCTATTGTCACGTTAGTTATTGTTGAATATCTCTGTTTTTCCTGTGGTGTGTCAGTTTGTGAACACACAGCAGACATCTGTTCATTCGTCTGTCATATGACATTATTCTGCATTGATAAACAACAACACTGACTTCCTTTGACAGGTGCGTCTCACGGATAGAAAACATGGGTCGCTTTCTGAACGTGCTGCGGAGCTGGTTGTTGATGGTCTCCGTCATCGCGATGGGAAACACCGTGCAGAGTTTCAGAGATCACAGTTTTCTGTCAGAGAAGCTCTACACAGGCGCACCAGAGTTTGGTGAGCAAACCAGGCTGACGCAACGTGATGGATGCTACACAGCTTGACAACATTAAATGTCACGTCGCCATATTTTTCACTCATCTGAGCATGATGTTGGTGCTGTCAAGTGTTGAAGAGTTGGTGATCAAAAATGTATGCACGTTTATGAAATGGGATTGAATAAAAAGAAATATCTGAAATTTGAATCCAGCTGCTAATACAACATTCAGGCTTTATATCTCTCTACTAGAATAACCAAAATCCCAACAAAGTAGTCAGATACGATACTATGCCGTTTGGAAAAAAAGCAACTCTATCAGATCTTATTTATGTCAAAAATCAATAACAATCTTCACACCAACACTTGATTTTAGGGGCCAAAATCAATATTTTTGAGGAAAAAATCTGATGGAATAGTCAATAGTGGACCATTACCGGAATGCATGTTTTTCATAAGAAAACCTTTAATATTGTTGTTAAAGAATTAAAGGTATGTTGACTACTAAATGGGACATTTTCGCTGTTAAAAAGATAAACATGTAAGTGCTCTCTGGTGGACAATGTAAAGGGGACAAGGTTTCTATATGACCCTGATCACAACATCTTGTTATTTATCTGCCAACATATACTGATGGCAGTGTTTGTGTCAAGCACATATTCGCTCAGCCGATTAACCGATCAGGGTTTATCCAAAATGTGTCAATGAAATGAGTCTAGGATATACAGAAGCCTATATCATGGGCCCTCATTCCTGATTCTCTGTTTACTTCTCATCTCCTATAGTGAATGGTCTCCAAGCTCGAACATTTGGTATTTGGACGTTGCTGTCGTCGATCATCCGCTGTTCCTGTGCCATCGATATCCAGAACAGAACGTAAGACAGCTCCTCACTTCCTGCACCTCGTTTCTGTTGGCAGGCTTCATACTGTATGTTCTTACTGCGTGTCCTCCCGGCTCCTGCAGGCTGTATCACGTCACCTTGTGGACATTTGTGCTGGCGTTGGGCCACTTCCTGTCTGAAGCCTTCATTTACAAAACTGCTCCTCTGACTATCGGGGTCATGGCACCTCTCATTGTGGCAAGTGAGTGTGGACCATGATGGGACATATGTTGACATTATCTCTTAAATGATCAAATCTTTGGTTTTAAAGGTATTTGAACATCATCATGTGCTCTTCTAGGTTTCTCCATCGTAGGAATGCTGATTGGATACCAGTGTATCCCAGAGTCACAAGAGGAGGTCGGTGCAAGACACAAGAAGCGTAACTGAATCCTGGCGGTTTTGATTTTCCTCCCACCTCCATAATGACCACTAGTGGACCGGTCCGAGTGTGCTGCTTCTTGCCTTGAAGAGAATGACATCTGGTTGTACATTGATTTATGTAACACTTTCTACAGACTATGTACAACTTCATCTGGGCTGTATTTTATGTTTTTTAACTGACATTTTAAAGTTCACAGAGCAATCAAAAACGGTTTTACAGAAAGTCGGGTCATACATGGAGGTTTCATTTAGGTCATTTTGTAGTATCTGAACTGTCAGTCCTGAAGGATGCTCATGAAGTTAATGTGTTTCCAAGCTCAAAGGTTAATTCAGTGTAGATTTTTTTTTAAGGATGTTTTATTTCTCCAGACTACCACTTCCTACACATTTTTTTTATTCCTGATCTGACAAAGAACTCAGCTGACTATATAGTAAACAACTATGCTCGCAATTACAAAGTCTACTATTCCTATTAACCAGTTCTTCTTGCTGTTGGTTCTGTGCTGTGAAATGTTTGTGCACCCTTTCAATTCATGCACAATTATTGTCCTATAAAACTTTAAAAAATGAAATGTTTTGATTTTGGATGTTTTCTGCTAAAGTAGCAAGCAAATGATTTGTTTGCATTATTTTTGATAAACATTTAATATTTTGTGCTGCTCTGATCTCATATTTGGGTTGAAGCGGGAGGTTATTTTCTGCTAAATGTGGCGTTTTAGCTCTTTGTTTGAAGAACCAAATGCATAAAACATGAGCACATTGCTATGTGTGTTTTTTATTTTTTAATTCCAAAGAAATAGAAATTCCCATGCTCTACTTAATACATCCAAACCCTTTTTCTTGACGTTATCCAATTAGGTACGGAACACAACAAACTCTATTTAGTCCTCTGATTCATGTTTTTTTTAATCCAATTATTTATTTTACTTCATTTTCTTTGAGTCACAGAAAACACTACACTGTGCATACAGTGAAAATAGAATCACATACACAACATTCATTATAAAATAGGAAAACCACGAGACGACTTGCCCCAACACATCAAGTAAAACATGTTAATGACAAACTACACCGGTTACACAGCATGGACTACATTTCTCAGTAACACTTTTACAAGCTAAGTAGCATTACACATAAAAACACTTGTTCCAGATGCTCTCGCATGTATATCCAGATATTTATGACCAAATGTTTTTGGACGAAACTGACCTTCCAAAGTTTACTCAGATACACAGCATCCATTATATTTCATAATCAGCAGTATACAAAAGTAAAACTTCCACATGATCCTGAAGGGCTGGCAGAGATGATATGACTTGTTGAGCTGATGGTCATAAGGGGAGAACACAACAGTTACACACAATATTAGGAAACACTCACAATTTAAATATTGCTCATTAGATGCACAGAACAGAGGGGGACGGTATAAAAGCTCAGGACACAATTCAGTTAAAGAGTGTAGTAATGTTGACGTCGCTAAAGTGGCTGTTGCATTGCACTAACAGGACATGTAAAATACATTGGATAAAATTAATGTTTACGAAGATGACTTTGTCTAAGGGTGTGAGAACCACTAAGGTTCCTTGTGCATGATTAACTTGTGCTTTGTTTAGGATGAGCTAAGTTGCACTTGGGATGTTAGTGTGAATCAACGATACGGTGTATGAGATGAACAGCAGGCCTGCTGAAAGGGTCTCACAGAGGGCTGCTCAGTAGGATTCACTCTCCTTGTGCTCACACTTCATAGCAGCCTTTTTCTCTCCGTGGCCATGTGTGCATGTTAATGCGTCTGGATCAGCCGTCGCTTTCTGTAAAGGACGAGGACAGAAAACGATTACAATCACGTCGTCCAACTAATGAGAAAAACTCAAATCTTGTATAATCAGAAGACACAAATTCATCATCACAGCCTTTCAAAAAACAGAACATTTACGTAGACCAAAATTAGTCTGTAGATTACTTAGTTGAATGTTAAACATCTCATCTTTATTCTCATTCATGGATCAATATGATCCATGAATTGTCATATACTCATCAGAACCTCTCAGTTTATCACAAATATCCAATGATCAATTGTCCCCTAAAAAGTTGATGTCGTTAAAGCAAAAAAAAGTTCATGCACAACAACAAACACCACTACTGGAATTCAGTTTTTCTTAAATATTAACTTTATCTTTAAGATGAGTTTTATTGGCGGCTGTAATCCTGAGATAAAGAGATTCATTCCACTATAACAGAAAAGGTGAACCTGTTTAATTCGATTGTGGAGTAGAATGTACTGCCGTTCAAGTGTTATTGGTACTAATATTTACAAAATATCAGTCATTCTTTTGTGAAGAATAAATCCTATATGTTTGTAAATTGAAACACAATGTGGTTTGTTACAGTTTTGTTGAATGTAACATTGAAAATAACGTTTGTTTACTGTCACATGTCCATTGTGTGTGTGTTGGTGTATTACTGGTGTTGAAGCTTCACAGAGGGTGTGCTCCTACCTTGGCAGGTGTGTGTTTTGGTTTTAGTGAGATTGTAGATTTTTGGCAATACTGCCGTTGCCAGTGGGCCTTGCGTGCTGTGGCCCCGTAGTCCTGCACCGATGACACGGAGCCTGTTGGCTGGAACAATAGCTTAGGTGTCAAGTCTCTGAGGGGCCCAGAGGGGCCACCTCATCCTCCTTCGTCTCCTCCATCCCACACCACCACCACCACCACCAGACTGCCCCCCCACCAAACCCTGCACACCAAACTAATACTGCCTGCTACCGTCTCTCTAGTCCAGCGGCCACACTTACAGTGTCTTTAGTGAAGACAATAGGTGTGCAGTCAGAATCTTTCCTGCAAATCTTGCTAAATGTAAAATAACAGTATTTTGGCATTATTTATTTTGATATATATTCCATCAATTACACCTATTATGGCTTATTTCAATTGTTGTGCATGCATCCTTTGTCATCTCACTGCTGCAATTTAACAAAACTGGCGTAATAATAAAACAAGGAAACTAGTGGTGGGCTATTCAATATATCTTATTTGAGTTTTATTAGTGAGCTGGATTACTGTAGCTTTCTATTTCAGTGCACAATGTTATAATGGGAATATTATGAGCAGAGAAAGGATGCGGAAAAACAGCAAAAGAGTTCCAACGTTTGTCTTAAACAAGGCAACGGGTGAGCAGCAGAAGACACACAATGTGAAGTAAGATTGTGTTTAAAGCGGCATTCATTGTTAAAAGTTTGAAGATGATTATGATCAGCTGGAGTCCACTGGGTTTTGTTCTATGTTGAACTAAATTTGAATCTGTGATATGTTCAGTATTCATGTGAACAATTGACCGAAAAGATGCCTTTTTTTCAGATTAACTCAATAAATGGAACATCCTTTTTTATTTATTAACAGCAGATTGTGGTCTGCTTGTGGTCTGCTTGTGGTGTGTTTTATCGCCTTATTGCAGTGATTTATAAAACGATGAGCTGTCAGACAAAGCAGAATTGTGCTTTCTGTTCACAGCATTTGAGAGTAGAGGATGTTTTTTGTGAGTTTAGAGAGAAAGTTTCCAGCAGTGCCATCCCTGCATTCACTCGTGCGCATGCCTGCAGTGTGAGGACCGCAGAGAACCAGTCAGAGTGCATTCAACCCAGAGCCAGGGCGGCATCTAACACATTCCTTCTCCAAAGGGATGTGAAGATCCCACCTCTGACTTCCTGTAGCACACACCGATGTACTTACACTCACTGACTGCACCTCGGTGTTTTGAAGGTTGACCTTCTGTCGTCGGAGGTCCGACTTGATAAGACCTGTGATACAGGAGAAGGAGAAACTTTGCTTATTTAAGTCATGGTCTGTGTGTAATTAATATTACTAATTAAGACTAGAGCTAGGGCAAGAAAATGGTATCAGTGGGGAATAGGGCTGCACAATTAATCGAAATTTGATCAAAATCAAAATATGGCCTACAGCAATTTTCAAATAGCAGGAGGTACAATATATGTTAAAGTCAAAATGTGTGTCAAAATAATATTTGAAATAAATATCGTCGTTCTGCAGAGATGTCCTGGCCTACACATCATATTCTACACACTTCAGAAAACATCTTTGTTTGGTACAGAGCCCCGCAAAAATCACACCAACACTTTAATATGTTTTTCAGTGAAAATGATAATAAAGACGTAAAGATCATTCTTCTCTCTAATCTCGCAAATCATATTGCAATTGCAATATCAGCCAAAATAATAGAAATTTGTTATTTTCTTCAAAATTGTTCAGCCACAGAGGTGACTCACTTCTGTATAACAGGGGTTTCATATCACAACCTGATGTATTAGTAATAATTGTGTTGTAATGTTAATGCACAGCCAATACATGTAATCACGTCTCCAGTTTTAAAATTAGATTCATTTTGAAAGAGCATAAGTTTTTGTTTGATATGTAGCATTAATGGGTAAAATTAAGTCTTCCTTTATGCCTTTAATAAATGGGGATTCTTCGTTCGGCCACTAGGGAGCAACCTTATCCTATGAAAGACACAACTGGGTTAGACGGTCATGCTCTACCTCTAAAATACACAGTGTCTTAAAGTTCCCTCATGCCTCCACAGTTGCTGGTATGAGTTCAATGTCCACTGTTGTTTTGAAAGTCTTTCTGTCTGGTGACCACAGGAGAGGCATGCTGAATAGAGGCTAATATCGTACCTGTCAGTGCTGTTCCTATTAGCAGGAAGATGCACAGGAAGATGTTTCCTGCAAAAGTGCCCCATCTATCAATAATCTTCCCTTGGGAGATGGTGAAAATGATTCCAAAGATCTGAAATGAGATAAAAAAAAAAACAGTCACATCCCCAAACCAACACATTTTGTAACCTGTCTTATATGTGTTGTGATGATTGAACCTTCTCTGCGCAGAGAATAAATACTTAAAAGACAACCTGGTTTTTGGTATTATGTATTTCAGCATTAAAAGACTGTGCTGATATTCCTGACCTGAGCTGAACAGTTAAGCAGTCCAGATGAGGTTCCCTCTGATTCCGGATAGGTGAGCTCTACTGCGAACTCAAAGCCCAGAGGTAGATATCCTGTCATGAAGAAGCTGCAGACAGACAGACAGACAGAGGAGGTCAAATTAAAGTCTGTCGTCTACAGTAGTTTTCGTCCCTACCAAAGAAAAGAAGAAAAACACAAATCTAAAAGTAGGGCGAGTATTACTCTATAATAATAATTCCTGTCCTGGTTTCAGGAAAGAAAGGCAGACAAAGGAATCACTATGGAAACCAGTTATGGGCTTAATCAGCTTACCATAAATAGCAATAATTGTAGGAACAAAGCACGAGGACTGCAGGATCAGAGGAGCATTAATATTGCTTTGACAATAACATTCGTGCCAGATGAGAGAAAAGTAAAGAAACATGAACTACATACAGACATTATTGACTTCACACTATAAAATTGGCATGTTTTAGGATGAGGCATTGTTCAAATTGAAACACTTGTGATCATGTTTGTCAATTCATTGTTATATCATATGGTTTTTCTTCCATGGTGTTGTTTTTTTTTTACAGGATCCAAAGTGTTGATGACAACATTAAGGAGTCGAGAGAGATGTTGCTCACTTATGAGTTGGCATAACAAATCTCAGATTCAAATCTCAAGATTCCAAACCCTGCAGGAAACCCTGTTAATTATTCCTTGAAGAGAAATAAGTGACCATCATGTCAAACATTGACTGTGATGTTTACAACCTTTGTAGTAATTAATCTTGAATGGTTACTTACCCTAAAGCTCCAGCAGTGACAAACACCACCCACAGGTGACCCAGATTGAGGGTGAAAGTGTAGACCAGCATCCCAATCAGAGAGAAGAGGTAAACGGCCAAGGTGGTTTGTCTGAGGAGACACGATAGAAGCACAGTTTAAGAGCGCTATGGCGATATGATCAACCTTCACACACAGGACACACAGCTTGTGTCATACACTAAAAGACTATTGTAACTAAAAATCACCTAAGAAATGTAATGTAATCTGATTTGACTATTATATTAATTAATCTAGTGACAAGGCTCCCGTTTGCTACATGCCTGTCGAATCAGAACAAAGAAATACTACATAATCCAACAAAAAGTTTAATTGTATACAAACATATAAATTGTAAAATTAGGGGGAAATATGTCTGATAATTCTGTACTAAAAAGATATTCATATCCAAAGGCGAAACCCAACTTAAGTGTTAATGTTTTGTGTTTCCTGTAAGGACTGGTGGTTATATGAGGCCTTTATATACTATTGATCCCATGTTGCATCTGAAAGAAAACTTACTATTCACATACTTTTTTTTAATCATTTAGTCAGCAGGGTTAAACTGGGAGCACTGGGACAGTCTCACAAGCCAGTAGCTCTTCTACTCTACATTTAACATGCATCATTTCAAGTGTCTCATGCATTTAATGTGTAAAATGCATATCATGATTCACCCAACCAGGACTAATGCCTACAAGTATCCTCAGTTTCTATAACTATAAGAGATAAGAAATGATCAAATATACATATATGTATATATTTATCTACAATATATATATATATATATATATATATATTTATATATATATATACATTTTACCAGATGGTAAAAAAATCTGTATTCCTGAGTCACTAAAAATCCTTCGTCATAACGCAGGCCGTCAGCTCAAACAGGCTTACTCTGGTGAAGCGGTCTCTCGTACAACCACGCGTAAGATAATGCTGCAAAACATTTGTGTTAATACAACACAGTCCTCTGGCTCTCTCCCACATGGGACAATAGGCGTGTGAGGGTCAGCAACGTAAATCTGGGCCTGACTGCTTTGACAGTTAAGCATCCTGACTGCATGTAAGGAATGTGAGGATTTGTTTCACATCATAATAGTTTGCGTGCCAGATCCCTGAAGACAGTGTACCAAGTATCTAACAAGCGGAAAACAGCTGCAAATAATTGGTTACTTTGTGGAAAATAAGTTAAAGTTTTGCCATGCTTAATCAAGACAAAAACGACAACAACAATAATCAGGTACCCATTGGATATCTTCACTTTTAGGATTGGATGATTAGTACTCTCCGTGTTTAATGTGGTGGCTTGAGATGTGACCAGGGAAGAGCAGCAGAGTAAAGGCTGTCAGTTCAGATAAGCAGAGAGGGACGTCACATATAAAACTCAGTTCCGCTGGATTCCACTTTTGTTCAAAGTGGGCACGAATTCACGTGGTCATCTCCCTGTTAATGGATGATTTAAAAGACATCCAAGCAAGAATCCCATGTTTTAAAGCAGAGAGTGACTGTTGACTCTGAAGACTGAAAAACATGTTTGAGACACTTCCTTTCAGAAGTGACAGCGAGTTTCTGGTATCACTTCATGGTAAGAAGGAAGCTGATCAACCAATTGTTCGACATGTATAAATTAAGATAGAGGTTCCACAAGAGACTGGTATTCTGCAACTATTGTTTCCATTGATCCTTACCACTTTCATGCACCTTATATACAATTTAAGATTTAGAGCTGTGTGCAAGCCGTTACTTCCCAAAACGACTCACATTCCCGTCAGCCTCAGCTGGACTTTTGTTTTGTGCTAATTAGCGAATGTCAGAATGTTAACACACTAAACTAAGATGGTGAACATGGTAAACAGTAAACAGGTGCATGTCAGTATTGTCACTATTAGCATGTTGGAAACGGACGTATTTTGTCTGAAGACTGTGACAGCATGTTTCAAGGAAACACGCATCGTAACGTCGGTGGATAGAAGGAAAGCTACAGGGGGAGTTTTGGCTGAGTTTTGGCTTCCTCTCAACGAAAGCATGACTTAAGATCAGTTTGGCAGTTTTTTTTGTCCTTCGAAGTGAACAGATCAATAGTTAAACTGTTATATAGAAATATCTTACTTGTATGTTTTGGTCCTGTCCAGCCAAATGCCACATATGAGGGAACCTGCCATGCCAGCAACAACAATAGTCAGACCAATTCTCCCAGCATTCACCTCTTCACCCTGAGAGGAAAAACATATTTTTATGGTTTTACTGACTATATAAGGCATCTTTGACATTTGCAGTTAACTTGTCCTGGAAGCTCTAAGCAATAAAAACTCCCAGACCCCTAGTTAACTGTGTCAGGGTCATCTCCTTGGCAGCTTTTTCATTTCAGTAATCAGAGTCAAAGAAAATGTCAACATGCTGGACTTATTGACACTAAGTATATGGTAGGTAAAAATAGTTGAGGAGGTAAGGAAGGAAGAACATAGAGAACAAAGAAACAAACAAAGACACACTGGGACTTACAGGGTAGTGTTCAATGATCATCCGATTCAACAGTGTGGAAATAGAATAGAAGCTGCCAACATTCAGCCCTGCAGACAACAAACAGAAATCAGCGACTGTCTATTTAGAGATGACCTGTAGGGAAAGGAAGAGGGTGCAGATGGGACCTCATGCTGCACCCCCTAAAAACACAGCTGACAACTTCACACATCAAGTCAACCCATTACGGCCTCCAGACTTCTTCACTTTCTTGGCTAAAAGTATATAAGTTTGTTTATACTGGAGCACAGAAACACAAAATTGCCTTAAAATCCCATTGTTCAGGCATGTTTAGGGTACACATTTAAAGACTAACACATTCTAATATGCTTGACACTGTCAATCTTTTACATTGTCTTTTTTAGTGACCTTTGAGCAAAGAATGTGGCATCTCAAAAGTCCCTAAAATCAATGCTACACGAGAGCAGCGCACTGGAAGTCCATGATGTTATGACGACACATCCTCATATCTGCACACCGGCTGATAAAGACAGTGAGTTTCCACAAAGCTCCAACTGACGACATCTATTTTGAGGCTTTTACATCTGTACCTTTCACCTAGATATTGTAACATCCTCGTCTGGATATGTGATAAAAGTAAGATGGATTGTGGGATAACCTGCATGTCACAATGATGTAATCAACACATCATTATGACACAGATGTGTCATGTGAAGACACTGACCTGGACTTCCTCCTCTGCTATTTATGATTTCATTCATTTTGACCTCCCTATTAACCTACCACGTGCTAACATTTGTACTTTAGAGATTTAGCTGAAGTCATGTCAGGAACTCTGATGTAAGTGAATCAACTATTTTGATATTTATAAATCACAAATCATAAGCAAGGAAAAATGCCAAGCATCTACTAGTTCTGTCTTTCTCTGTTTCATATCATTGTGATTTAAACATCTCTGGGTTTTGGATTGTTGGTCAGAAAAAACAAGCAATCTAAAGACATCCTCTTGGAATTTTCACGGTTTGGCACAGTTTTCTTGACATTAACCTAAAATTAGGACTCAAATGATTAAACAATAGAGTAATCATAAGTGGCAGCCCTGGATAAACATCAGTGCAGGCAACAGGAAGGGACCCACCATAGCTGACCATCAGGAGCATGAAGGGCTTGTTGCGCAGGAGGTTCGAGATAGAAGCCATGTACGAGTAATCGCCGGGGAGGATGTTCCTGGCCTGAGCCTGGGCCTGAGTTGGAGGGATCTCTGGCTTTTCCTGAAAGACTAGAAGACAAACAGACTTGTGTGTTCCTTCATGAAGCTGATTGTGATAGCGCATCGTCTGTTCTTTGATCAGCCAGTACAAACAATGACGGAGGTTACAGCCCGGAGGCAGAGGAGTAACAGTGGAAGCAAATAGGCATGTGTGTGTCTTACCTTAATTGTATTCATATTATGTTAATGCCTTGTATTTATGAACCAGTTTGTACCTTTTGAAATAAGCCCAGAAAAGAAGATGTTTTTTTGTTTGTTATTGTTGCAGGGACAGATAGCACAGTCTCTAAATAGACACTACGTTTAATTTGTAATGCCTGTCCCCGGATTGGCTTTTGTATCTGATCTGATATAATATAGTATTATTACCAAGCCCTTGATACATAAACTCAGTATCACATTAGAGTGGCCAGCAATTTGCTACAAATAAAGTAACAATAATGTGAAAGCCATACGTGCTGTATCATTATAATTGTAATATTGTATTGTGATATTGTAAAAATATTGTAATAATGTTTGTTTTTTTTACAATAATAACAATAGTTAACATAGTAACTATTACAATACTGAGTTTTATTATTTTGATGGTAGGTTGAAATTTTCTGGGAGGAGTAAATACTGTATTTATATATTTTCAATGTCTCTAAATGCAATAACAATACATTGTGTGTAGGTAAAGCATGTCATATTTTAATACTGGGTTTAGCAGGTTGCCAGCTGAAAATCTCCATTAAAAAAAAGTGCAACCCGTGGTGAAGCTCCAGTGTGAGTTTTAGTCCTTCATGGAGGTGAAAGGAGGATTTGACAGAGCTGACCAGGAAGATGGTTTCTTAAAACACGTCCATGACTCCCTGAGTTCCTGCATGTATTTCACATTGTGTCTCAACACATCTCATCAAAAGGTGAACAATTACAGCAATTACTGCAGCTGCTCATCCAGTGGACTGTGATGCTGTTGAGTTTTCGGTAGAAAGCACATCTCAGGGAGACTCAGCTCTTCAGCAGTGCTGCCTGAGGAGCCCAACAGCCATATAAGAAGTTCTACTATAGAGAAATGAATGAAATTGTACAATGAATCCTGATGTGGCAAAAAATCCAACTTGAGAATCGTTTGTGTTCTCATCAAAAAATACCATTACAATGCCAACTAAAAATGTTGGTAGCGTCGCTGCGGGACAAAGGAGGTGAGGTAACAGCTTTGTCACAGTCCCTAATGCTGGAAAGCACAAAATGTCAAGATGCCTCTTTGCTTTTTATATTTCCACAACTATGACTGTGGGCGTTATATGACATTGAAAAGGACTTGCAGCGAGCTATTTCTGCGTGAGTGAGCAAAGAGCCTGACAGCTCTTACCCTCTCTACGAGCCTGTGGATGTGAATAGTCATCTTACCAATGACCACGAGGATAAAGATGAAGGTGGCCACTCCTGCGCTGATGTAGAACATGATTCTGATGTGGTACGCCAGCTCCTCCACATCGTCCACATTAGGCACAAGGATGGGTGGGAGCAGGAACCCAATGGCAACACCCAACTGTAGGTGAGAGGCACAAAATAAAATGACACTGCATCTCTAGCTGACGGCTACACACACACACACAGCTACAGTCAGTACACATTGTTAAAGGGGCAAAGCGTCATTACATAAGTGGAGGAAATTTGAAATAAAGAGTCGGTAAAGAAAGGTTTACGTTTAATTAGCATTTGACTTCTTGGCATTTGTGTGGGTGATGGTTACCCACTATTGTTTGTAAACACATCAATAATACATGCTTATTTACCGTATGTATTGACTAGATTCAAAATATATGAAAGGGGGGTTAAAACATAGTTGGGAATTTTCGGAAACGAGATGATTAGCTTAACGTAAAGACTGTAACACAGTTAAACACTTGGCTCGGCTCTGTCCAAATGAAACAAAACCCATCTATCAGCACCTCTAAAAGATTATATCTTGTTTGAGTAATCTCTATAAAAAAATTAAGTGTAAAAACTTCAACTCGCTGTTTTATGGGGGATTTTGTTGGCTGGCTGTTTCTCTGTTTCCTGTGTTAATGCTAAGCTAAGCTAACCAGCTGCTGGCTATAACCTTATATTTGAGGAACATGTACTTAAGCCCCCCAACCCCAAGGTCCAGCAACAGTCCTGGTGGATCTGGGACGAATGTGAATACATATGAGTAGTGCCCACTTCCTCAGCTTCTTAAAGCCTCAAGGATATTCTACAGTGGACAACGGACAAAGTCCCTCCGCATTAGCAGAAAGGCAAGAGAAGAAAAAGTGCGAAAAGTGACAAGACATGTTCCTTTAGGAGGAACTATCCTGAGAACAGCAAGCACAGAAATAAGTCAGAACCGTTCAGTCCTTCAGAAATGTTAAAGCCACCATGCTTTATCGATGTGCACCTGTAACCCTCTACAGTACAACATACAGAAACATTTCAAACTTTGGTCATTTGGCTAGAGATTTGTACAACACAGTAACTGGGGAGTCATCCCTGCATATCACTGTCCCACATCCGATGCAAAGAAAAGCCACTGTATTTCTCATTTATGTGCATTTTGGATAAGTAGAGCAACTCTTGATAACTTGTCAAAAACAAGCTTATTCTCAGTTAGTGCAAATAAAAGATCTCTTATGAAGTTACTTTTGGCACACAGACTGTTGATCTGTTTGATCTTCAAAGGCCTTTGTGGAAATCCTACCAATTTTTTCTTAATGTCAACTATTTCTAAACATCCATGGGTATATGTGAACTACTTCTGCCTGGAAATTTGTAATCTTCAGGTTTAGGGACCGGAGCCAAAGGAATAAAGTCGTGGTGAGCAAGTAAACATCAACAACAATGTGTCCTTTTATCTTCAGCGGCGGGGAGCTGGACTTGGGGACAAAGCAAGAACCTGCGTGACAATGGCCGGTATGCAGTGTTTGGTTTAACACATGTGAGAGAGGATACACATCAATTGAAAAAAAAATACATTTTATGTTCAGAGGTTGAAGAGCATCAGGGGGGTAAGACGTCTTTTGATGGTCTATGTTTATGGGGTTAAAGGTCATGGTGCGATCACAAGGCATCCATATATAGCCCAATACATAAGAACTGTCATAGCTGTCCAGTATTCATTCACTGCCTTTGTTGGCTTGTACAGAAATAATCATTTAGAGCTAAAACAATAATAATGAAGAAAGTATTTCTCAAAATATGATGAAAACTGTCAGTCCACTGCTCTCTATTCATCGTCTTTGAAACAATTGTTTGGGTCTTGTAAGTTGAAAGTAACATGAACCATGACAGTCTTCCTTTACCTCAAGCTTCAGATCACCTAGCAAGTTTAAAACATTAGTATTCTGAGTGTGAGGGTAAAGGATAAATGCTTAGCACATGAAATCGCTCTCTCTCTCTCTTTGTGTGTTTTCATCTGAGTTGGGTTGTCGCAGAAGCGTAGTGCCCACCGTCTGGTATCCCCTCTGGATAACAGTTAGCTCAGTCAGCACTGTTGATGTTGTTAGCACTGTTAGCTCTAAGCCACCGGCTCAGCTGTTGCCATGTTTGCACCAATATTTTTGAACACTGCCCTCTAGAAGTTATCTGAATGTGACAACCAACTCCATTCTCCTCTACCTGCCTGTTTTTTTTAACACATCGCCATCTATTCAGACACTGCAAAGACGATAGAGCTCTCTTTCAGATTTTCTCTGTAACCGACACACACACAAACAGTTCTCTTAACACCAACGAGAGAAGTTCATAACACCATATACACACTGCCAAAGATATGTTGAGCCCGAAAGGCAAACAGAGACACACCTGGGTTCCAAGAACAGCAATGGAACAGGCGGTGGAGACCTCCTTCTCCCCAAACCACAAGGATGCAAGTCTGGACGGGATGCCCATATAAATAGTGCCCACCGAACACACAAACTGGCCGAAGAAGGTCATAGCAAACATGTTGGGGTTGGCCGTGCCCGTCTTGATCCAGGCCCCTATGCAGTTGAAGGCTGCTGCCACCACCACGACCTCCCTGACGCCCCGGTTGTTGAGCACCCACGTGACAGGCAGGAAGAGGGGGATGTAGGTGAGGAGGAAGAGCATGGAGAGCCAGTCAATGGCCAGGTTGCTGATGCTGTAGAAGCGTAGGAAGATGTTGCTGATGATGCCGTACTGCAGCCACATCAAGGTGTTGCTCATGGAGGAAGCGCTGTAGATGAATAGCATGAGCCATCGCCGCTTGTACAACTTGGTCTCCATCAGTTGGAGGAGCTGTGCCGTGTCCAGGGCTGAAGGCTCCGAGGTGTCGCTGCTGTCTCCCAGAGACAGCTGGCTGTATTCCCCCAAACTGGTTCTCTCTTTTCTTGGTGGAGACCAACCATTGCCTCCATCCTCCCCAACGCCATCCATCCACTCTTCAGAGAATTCATCCTGAGAAATCATGTTCTTCCCACTGAAGTCTCAGGTTTTTGTAACACTTAGCAACTGGAGGGAAGAGCAAAAGTTGTTTTACTTGTGGATCCGCTTTCTCAACACCGTGTTAGTTTACCTGACTCGCCCCTCCCAGCAGGTAGCCTATAAACTGCTGATCATAAACAACTCGCCAGCTGTGACTAAAGTAGCGATTACTGCTTATTAATGCTAACAAAGGTGGATCTGGGGTGCAGTTTTGAGCGATGTTGGAAAGCTCTGATCCCGGCCAACAGTTAAATACCTGCCTGCAGCCTCTTCAGTCATGTGATAAGCTTCACTTCTCATTTCAAACTCCTCCTTCCAGCTTATGTCATAGGATCAACTTAACATAATAGCCGGCGGTGAGTAGGAATATACAGTAGGACGGTCGAAGAGAGCAAATCCATTTTATTGCTAAGTTAGGCACATGACACACACACACACACATACAGGGATGTGCACAAGGTGCTAAAGTCTGCGGAGGGTGACGATGACCAGAAAAAATATGGCTAAAATATAGATCTACATCTGCAGCAAAGTGGCCCACACTTACCAGCCCATCTCATCAATATATGAGAAAACATCTTTGAGCATTAACAATAGATTCTGTAAAAAAAGGTTCAACACTAGTGGTAGATTACTTATGCTGTGGTGAGGAAGTATGCCTTTCTGCTCAAACACAACATGATAGTATCCCACATACATTTGATTTACTAATGCAGTCACTTCCTATCACAGCATCCCTCTTGGGCACTAGAAGACCTGACGCTGGATGATTTTAAAAAGTTGGTTACATTCACAGTGCACTAACACATTTTTGTCACGCTGTCTTTGTAATAAATGCACGGTGCTTGTGTACTCAAAAACACTGGATTTGAAATGCTCCGCCAGGCCTGTCCTGCAGCCATCACCAGCTACAACAATGAAAATAATGACCACTGAATTTGGTGGACAAAGGTCAAAGGTCAATGTCTCTGTGACCTCACAAAACACGTTTTTGGCCATAGCTCAGGAATTCATATGCTAATTGTTACAATTTCACACAAATGTGTGATAGGATGAAGTGATGACATTTTGGACAGACACGGATGTAAACTGCAACTTGACTGGTGGGCTGAGGCTAACAACCACGAGGTGGTACTCTAGTTTTACACAGAGATGTATTACTCAATGGAGGATTATTAACGTAATTACACAATTAGTCCTGATTAATCATTTTCAAACTTACATTGTTCAAGATTAACAATCAGAGTGATTCATTTTATTTTGGCTTATTCAACATTGAGCCACTTGTTTTTGTTATAAAATGATTCTATCTTGCCACAACTGAGTGTGATATATATATATATATATATATATATATATATATATACACACACACACAAAGTACTGTAGCGCCCCTGCTGTCTTCAGCCTCCAGCTGCACCACCTCTGGTAGCATTGAGCAAATCCCTGAATGGGAGGAGTGAAGGGAAGAAAACCAAAACTCTCATCAGCTTTAAACTGCAGCCCGAACCAGTTCACTATTCTCGGGTGTCTTTAAGGAAACGATGTGAAATGTAATCATGCTTCAGTATCGGTGTTTAGATATCTAGTGGGAGGCAAAGTTGTCAACCCAAGATTGCTTAGTTGGCATTCGCCTTAATTCTATAAAAAAAAACACAGCATCCCAGGAACTCATATCCAAAACACTTTCGGCATTTGGGCTATAAACTGCATCGTGATCATATTCCGCGAAGATCGACGACAAGATATGAACACATGAGCTGTTAATATAAAACCCTGCAGCCAGCCTTTCCTGAGATTTTGATATTTTCACACAAAAACATCCATTACTTAGAGAACCGACAGTTTTCATACCTTGCACACGGCCGCCTTGATCTACTAGACGAGTAACTTTTTGTGCACGTCACCTGCCATTCCGTTGGCACGTCCGCACCTTAAAACAGATACCTTCCGTGATGTACACCACACCTCTGTAGGCTGTTTGAGGTTGGTTTAAAAAATCAATCAGCCTAACGCGAGGTGTAGCGTACATCACGTAGCGTACGAAATAATCCTGCTTTCTTCTTTTTCTTTCTTACCTCTACACTTCATTTCAGAGGGAAATATTGTAGGTTACTTTTACTCCTCTATTTGCGTAAATGTATCTACTAGCTATGCTATAATAAGACTGGGTACTTTTAATAACGAAAACAAAAAATACAATGAATTGATAAAATGCAAAATATGTTGAAGATTAAACCCGAGGTTCCCATCTTGTTGGGGCCAATTTTCAAATGTCTATAAATTCTTAGCAGCTCCACCAAAGAGAGATCCCTGTCTAGATTTATCAGATGTTTCATTTAAAAAAAATGTTGAGGCCCAAAGAGGAGAAAGTATTTGACTTTTCACAAAGATTATGGAAAAATGAATACACATTTGTTAAGCAGAATTTAGTGTTTTCTTCTTTTGCACCCCATTAATACGCAGGTGTATTTTGTGACCCTTTGGTTGGGGCCAAACCTATAAGGTTGGGAACCACTGGACTAAACCTAACTTTATTCGACCAGCTACAAAAATAATAAGCTATAAACATTGATGCATCAAAATCCAATAAGCTAATAAAAAGCCTATATTATTCACAGGGGCCATTTTCTGCAGAGCCTTTTACTTTTAAAACTTTAAGTACATTTTGCCGTTAAAGGGACAGTTCACCCCAAAATCAAACATGTTTCCTCTAACCTAGGTTATCACTGCTAATTCACATGAAACTGTTCACAACAAGGTCTGTGGATCATCCTGAGTGACTGCATCATGATTTATGGAAAGAGACATTGCTGTTAAGTTTTCAAATGTATCTTTTTGGCACCACAAGCCAAATGCCATAGTCCCATTATATCTGAGAGAAGGCAGACATCTCTATGGCCAATATCTCCAAATCAAAGCAACTCACACCAAAACAATCAAAGTCAAAATAAGCATGGTGTTTAGTGCATTGGCATTTAGTGGAGATAAAGGATTGTGGACAGTAATAGGCCTATAACTCATTTAATGTCATGATCATCATGTTTTCTGTCACTACTCCAGGGATGTTTTCCAGGAATTCCCTTTGGTATCAGCGCAAACTAAGGAATTTCACACAAAACAATTCATTAGTATTCATGAGCCAGCATCCTATAGCAACTATTTGCATCTAAGATGTCAAGCCAAGAGTTTAGTGTAATTTAAGCAACTCGCCTGATTCCCAAAAACTCCAATAGAGCAGGCGGTGGAGACCTCGTCCGCGCCGAACCAGACCGACGCCAGGCTGGAGGGCATCCCGAGGATGAAGACCTGGGCAAGGGAACTTACAAACTGTCCGAACATGGTCAGCCCGAACAGGTTGGCTTTGGCGCTGGCCACCTTGATCCATGTCCCGGAGAAGTTGAGTGCGTTGGCCAGCAGCGCGGTGACACGCAGCCCCTTCTTATCCAGGAGCCAGGTGACCGGGAAGATGAATGGGATGTAGGTGAGCATGTAGATCATTGACAGCCAGTCGACAGCGAAGCCGTCCACGTTGTAAAACTTCATCATTATGTTGCTGATGATGCCGTACTGGATCCATTGGTACGCGTTGCTCAGGGAGTACGCGCTGAACAGGCACACGATCAGCCAGCGCTTCTTGTATAAACGCGTTGTGGCCGGAGAGCTACTGTCGCCGTTTGGGATGATGCTGCATTCAATATGCTCCGCGGCATCTGGACCCCGCGCTCCCAAATGTGGACCAGCATCATTCGCATCGCGCGCGCTACTTTCTTGCGAGGCCCGCGCATCTTCTCCCATTTTCTGCCTCAATTAAAACGAGCGCACTTGGAAGATGAAGTCTTCCACCACTGCCGTAACTTACTTATTTTAAACGATAAGGGTCCGAATATACTAATTAAATTACAGAAGTGACGATCAGAGAAATACCAATGGTCACTTTTGTTCAATGTGACAGTCCCAAAAAAACTAGTCAGTTTGAGAACCAAAAATAACTTGGATAACTTCAGACTTCATTCCAAAGGACTGACTTGCTCGCCACGAGTTGATTTAATACTTGAGCTGTCTGAGAAATCCTCTGTATTGCACATTACGTAGGACCCGAGTTTTACTCCACCCAGCTGCTGAGATAAGAAATGACAAGCTATAAGTGTGGGGACACTATCAGTCAGTCAATAGGCCTCGATAAGACGAACAATGTGAAATAAACTAACTCCATATAGATACTTATGGTAGGTTAACCTTTGTTTGTCCCAATGTTTGCCTGTAATCCTATAGTCCCTCCTCCAGGGAGAGAACAATGTGTGCCTTGTTACTAACTTTGTGTTTTCCTGTAAGTACCTAGCCTGTGTTGTAATTGTACTTTCATCATAACAGATCAAATGTGAATTAAATATAAAATCTAAACACAGCAAATGGATTTAAAAAACACAAAAGTAAAGGCATTTGAATAGTTTGGTGACTTAATGCAGAATCACACATGAAGTGAAGGGAATATGGTTAAACATAAAATATGTTTTTATGCTTCATGACACAAACAGTAAATTCTCCCATCTTTTTCACTGTTATAATTTGTATGGAATTACCCACAGCTGAAACAAAGCTTCCCCTCTGCAGGATCCCTGAAAACCTCACTGACAGAAATTAGCCAAACCTTGAGGGTAAAGTGGGATACTGTTACTGAATAGCTACAATAGATCAAATGGTTGAAATAGTTCAGAAGTTGCTGCATGAAACTATAACAAATATGTGGAATTAAAAATGTAGATGTACGGGGTTAATCAGGTTGTGATGCTACTAGCCACCAGATGGCACCGTTGACCGGAACGTTTGGTCATGAAACATGCTATGGTGGACATGTTTTCAATTTTGTAGGACTCAAATAAATCCAGTAAAAAAACAAAAACTAAATATTTATTTCTTAAGGAAATACAAAATGGGATTTTGTGATAGCTTATATGCTTATATAACATCATATACAAAAGTATAAAAAAAACATAATTGGTAGTAACAATATGCTAACAGAAAATAAAGTACAATGTAAACAGTCCACATACATATATATATAGATATAGATACATATATATGTGCATACATGACGCCTGCGCCAAAACCAAAGGAAAAAAGGGATCAACCGCTCAGCCACCAGATGAATGAAAGAAGAAAAATGACCATGAATCATGACGGCCATTATGTAGTAAAAAAGCTTCTGGCTGTGTGAGGGTGTAAGTATTGAAAAATATAGAATTTACTATTTTCTTAATTAAGTGAGCAAATTAAACTACATGTATCTATTAAGCCTACCTATTTGCTCTCCTCTATAGCTGCATTTCAGTTCAAATTCCTATGATTCATAGAATACATTTTAACAAAGGCAAAATACAATTGTTCATTTGTAAATCACCAAATGAATTGCTGAGTTGAAACTGTTTTCAATGGTGGAAAAGTTTAGATGCTGGAAATATATTGAAGCGCTGGCTAAAGCTAAGAAGACATATAGTACAAATCTACTATAAAACAACAAGCTGAATGTATAGAAGGTAAAGTAATGTGCCAATATCTGTGTTGTGTTTTTTGGTTTAACTTCATACTGACAGTGGCTGGAGCTCTGGTGACCACAATGACCAGTAACTGGGAGAGCAAGAGAGACAAACACAAAGAATATGTGATTTAACTGAAATAAACAGTGTTCATTGTTATTGGATCCACATTTTGTGGAAACGCTCTGAGTTAAGGTGGGAGGAGGACTTGGCTGGATCTCCTCCAACTCTTAAGTGCTGCTGGTTGGCTGCTTCTTCTCAATTGTACAAAGTCGTCGCACCTTCACTTGGCCTCCAGCTGCTGCAGCAGGGGGTCCACCTCGCTCTCCGGGGTTTTGACGCTGTCTGTCCGGACAATACATGTGGGGCGATGCCGGTTAAGCATGAGGATCAGTTGCTGTCGTTCGAGCTTCAGCTCCTCAATCTGGGCTTTAAGGTCAGAGTTTAACATCTCGAGTTTCTCTGATTCCTGTGAGAGGATGGAGAGAAAAGGAGGTGATACCACTTATTATTATTAATAATATTTGAGACATGTTGTTTTGGCGATAACAACAGAGGAGATACATTTGTGAAAGTTTGAAATAATGACAACCCAATTATGTTTCACCATTTGTAGATAATCTGTTCTCTCCTTCTTTTTGTTTCGACATCGAGCCGCAGCCACTTTGTTTTTCTCTCGCCTTCGTTTCCTCCTGTCGTCCTCTTCATCTCTCTAAACAACAGAGCAGGTAAAAACAGGTGTGAGCTTAAGTCCTGATGGACCTGCTATACATTGGCAGACTATCCACGTTTCAGTACAAAATGATGATACATGATTAAAAATTATCATCTCACCTTCTTTATGTTACATTTGACTGTAATAGCAGTAGGCTTTGGCCATGCCTTCTTCACTATCATGATCAATAAGCAAAAGAAATGTTGCGCTAAATGAAGAACCAACAATTTCTCATTGTATACCAACTTTGCATGTATGTTGATCTGTCTCAGTCACAGTATGCAGGTTTAATCGGTTTAACTTAATGAAGTGAACATGTGTGAAGTGATCCAAGACATAACGAGGCCCATGTTTAGCTATAAACGCTAATGACAACGTTTTCATATTACTGTTTTAAAATGCATATTTTTACTTTTTTCTGGACATACAGCAGTATATTTAACAACAGCATCGTGTCCCGCTATGTCCACCAGGTGGAAGTGGTGATTAACATGCAACATAACGCTGAAATTCCAAGGGTGGTTTCACTTCAGGCAAATTGTTTATGACACATTAGGCAAATTTTACACATAGTTGAGCTAGAATCTGTATGATTGATTTGACATATTAAAATTCTGTATTTGGTTTGTTGCAACTGTTCTTTCCACTGTGGCTAAATTCCATACATGTTCAAAAGCCAGTTTAGAAAAAGCAGGCAAAGCGAATAACAACTCAAAATGCAATATTTGTATTTACATGATCTAGTCATCGGCTCTTCAGTGTTTCCTATACCTCTGTTTTGATCACTCGGGGCCTCTTCCCCAGACCGTCCAGGAAGTGCAGAGGTGACAGCATTGTGCCAAATTCCTGGAAGTCACAAAATTTGAGCTCGTCAGTCAGCGTGGTGGCTGAGATCCCAGCCAGTGGACCCAGGCTGGGCAGTGAGCCTGCTGTCACAGAGGGATCTGGGATTCGTCCTGGCATCGCGTCAGACTCGGTCGTGACCACAGCTAGTAGGCAGAGGGAGAAAATGGAAGACATATTCAGACAGCAACTAAACCAGATCAATGAAAAACACATACAACTCCGTCTGCTCTGCTTGTTATAGTGCATACTTTATGGTACGAGGGTAGAAAAGCCATTTTACAATAACAAATTAGCAGCAAGTAGACATTTAAGGGCGTTATTTGAGCTACAGTCGGTTACAGAGCTTCATGAAGGCATACGCCTGAGGTGCACTGCTCCTTTCTAGCAGTCAGACTTGCCTTACTTGATGAATTGCTGGTCTGTTATGGGAGCCGGATGCTAAGGCTGCTCTCATTAGGCTATTTTACTATTTTTCTTTTGAATGAATATACAGCCATTACTTGGATCTTGGCAAGAATTTGCCTTATTTAATCCCCTGAGGCCATAAGAGACGAGTAACAGTGTACAAAGCACACACAGACAAATTCCTCTTTATTTCAAGGAGAACTAAAGAAATAGCCATGGTTTCCTTCTCACAAGACCTAATGCCATGGGAGTCAAATGTGGCTGCCAAAATTCAGCATAATGGGGTAAAATATGAACCCAAATTTAACTTGTTTGGTTTTGTTTAGCCACATGAAAAATTAAAGTTGTCCCTGTCTACTTATAATGTTTTGCGCAGAACAGATTTTTCACACTATCACTGGGGAATGCCTCAATTTGAAAAGGCCGAATATGAACATTTAAAAATATCCAAAGACAACAACAGGTGTGCCAGAGCAAAGCCAGCCAAAGACACAGGAAATTACGATAACAGCTCAGCAGACTTCCAAGCCACATGATGCAGCCAAAAATCATCTAACAGTCAAATACTCAAAGACCTGTAGACCACACTACAGGAAATAAACAGCAGAAAACAGCCTGTTAGCACAAGAGAAGACCAATAGACAAAATTTCTAAGTGAAGAGTGTGTGTGTGTGTGTGCCAATTATGCATCTAAACAGTAATGCTGAGAACATCCAAACAACAACCAAAGCAAAAGACAAAGCTGCCTTAACACCATGATCCTTGAACATTGATAAAAAAGGACTTCTAAGTATGGTCCATAGTGAAGTTATGATTAAAACAACAAGGCTATTTAACATTCTTGTAATGATAACTTTATTATTCCCCTGAAGGTCCAAGAAGCCAATTTATTAAACTTATACTGATTAGACTGTATTACAGTTAGTTTGTTTTGAACTCTCTGCACTTCAACATGAAAACACTGCATGTTAGTTTATGAACAGGACTTGACATGGATATGTGTAGTCATCTTAAACAGACTACATTGTTGTTGCAGCGTGCACACTGAGGCCATTGGTCAACTTGAAAGCGGAAGTTTGTTTTTCAGTGCGGCATTTACCTTACGTAACTTTGTCTTCCCATCACAAGAGCTGCAGCGATGAAGAAAAAAAACGTTCGGATTTCACTTTCGATCAAAACACAGTTTAAGAAGCCATGCACAACACCAATGCATCGGACAGACGGGGCTACAGAGGAACATTTTGTTCTGAATTGTGCACGCCGTAGTTCCATGTACGAGGAGCAATGCAAACAAAAGAAAAACGATCCTTCTGTAGCATGCTCAGTAAGATGCCAGGTCTGTGTTGAGCACAAAAAAAGCACACAGAGACTGCCGTAAACAGCACAGTTCAACCAAACACACCACAGACCTCCTCGCTGCCTGTTCACAAACTCTCGTTCTGACCCGTGCGCGCGACGCGCCAATAGGCTGGTTAGTATGGAGAAAATATTCAGCTCTCTCGATTTACGAAGTTTTGTATACCGACCTGACTTTGATCCCAGGTGCAACAAATGTCCTTTCTTCTGGTCAGCCGAGGGTCGAGAGTAGATTTTAAAAAGTGGAAATCGTTGCATCAGACCGATTTTTAAACGTGATCCCAATCGGGGAGGATTTGGGAATGCGGAAATTAGGCTATGCCAGCCAAACGTAAGCAGGGATGTAAAAAAAAAAAAAAAAGTAGCCTACATAGTGGGGGCAGAAGTGGGGAAGTCGCGCCGCTCCTCCCATAAAGGAACACTGAGGCTGCAAACTGCAACGATAGAATGTGGCTCAGCTGAAAATACAGAACAACCCTCTTCATCCAACCCTCTTCATCCAACCCTCTTCATCCGACCCAAAACACGCGCGCCAAATGGATAATACGAAAATGTAGACACGAAATCATTTAAACTAGGTTTTAGGAAATACGGAGGTCATGTTAAAAGAATATAGTGATTCCAATTTTTACACTTTTACCTCACATTATATTTAGTTTGTAGAATTATAACTATATCATTTCAATTTATTGAAATAATGTGTACAGTTTAAATTCAAGCTTTTCATATTTACACCTTGATCAAGAAATAGATTTCTTGGAAACAAAATTGCAAACACCAGCAACAAACTCCACTTTGAATGTAGATTTATTGTAATTATTCAGCAGAATAGATAAGCAATCAATGCTCATTTTGACTTGTTCTCAAATTTAACAAAGAAGTCAAATTCCGAAAGGTAAAAAAATAAATCATAAGTTACATCTTGATAAGATATACATATATATAGCACTGGATGTTTTCATGGAAAACTTTCAACGAGGTCGACCCACAGTTGATGACATTGAGGTATGCACGTAACATGGATGAATACGTAAATAGAATATGTACAGCAATCAATACACTATTAACACAAAAACACAAAACCATACTGATACATCAAATTCCACATTACATCTTAGATCTAGTAACAGATCTCAT